TATATTTACTGTTGCTTTTTTACATTACAGAATCAGTATCATTCAGAACCTTAAAGTGGAGTCAGCTCTTTTGTTAATAATATACCTGATCCCCCTGTACTTTTGTGTTAAAAACAACTTGGAGCATCCTGCAATCCCAGCATTCTGGAGATGAAGGCAGGAGGATCAAGAAAATTAAGGTCTGTCAGGCATGATGGTATACAACTTTAATCCTAGTGCATGGGAGGCAGAGACAGGCAGATCTTAAGTTTGAAGTCAGCCTTATCTACATAGCAAGTTTCAGGCTAGTCGGGGTTACATAGTGAGAACTTGTCTCACACAGCCAGCAAGCAATTAAAAGTCATCCTCAATTACACAGATTTCCATGCCAGCCTGAGCTACAAAAGCCTGTCTAAAAAATAATTAATTAATTAATTAGTAAATAAATAGAAATTAAGTCATCAATCACACAGATTTCCATGCCAGCCTGAGCTACAAAAGCTTGCCTAAAAAATAATTAAATAATAAATAAATAGATGTTTTGTAAGCATTTCAAGTATTCCACCTGGAGATTAAGAGGATGATACTCTTTTCACTGTTCTTTCTGCTTTTGTGTATAATTGAGGTTTTTACTAAAAACAAACAATCAAAAAAACATTTAAAAACAACAAGGCAGTATGCTGGGAGCGCAGACCCTCCTTTCTTGAAGGCAGCGTACTATTAACCCACATTTCACTGCTATGACAGTGTTCCATTCACTAATTCTGAACATATCTGCCCTTCCTTCAGAGTGTGCAAAACTGTGTTCTAAGCTGAGGAATAGAATATAATTTGCACAACAGCTCAGTTTTGTTTGAAAAAGCAGTTAATAGTACAAAAAATGATCAGTCATAGAGAACACATACACACTCAAAATCATAATTATTTTTAGATACCATTTGTGTACCATTTCATGTGGAGGCGATTTTAACAATACCCATGAAGATTATTGAAAATCAGCCAGAAGGTGGTGGTACACACCTTTGGTCCCAGCACTTGCGAGGAAGAGGCAGGGGGTGTTAGTGAATTCGAGGTCAGCCTGGTCTACAAAGTTCCAGGACAGTCAGAACTACACAGAGAAACCCTGTCTTGAAAAACAAAAACAAAACAATTAAAAATCACACTAATAGCTGCATGTGGTGGCACCCACCTTTAAACCCAGTACTTGGGAGGCATAGGCAAGTAGATCTCTTTCACAGCTAGCCTGGTCTATACATGCAGTTCCAAGCTAGCCAAGGCTATATATGAGGCCGTCTCAAAAGGTAAAGTGTGTAATTTGTTCAGTCCTCTTCATGCACACAATTTTGCTATCTGTAAGTTTTCTCCTGTAAATAAAATACATGCTCTTTATTCTCTGTTTGTAGATCACTCTGCTAGGGTGAGTGGGATTGAGTAAAAGGATGAAAAGTTCTTAAAAATTTTTAATTATGCCTCTGTGAGAGCACAGATGCCCTGAGTCTAAGAGGGTGTTCAGTCCCCTGAAGCTAGAGTTCCAGGTGATTGTGAGCCCCTTGAAGGGCTAGGAACTAAACTCAGAGCCTCTGCAAGAGCAGTATTCACTCTTCACTGAGCCATCTCTCCAGGCCCAAAACGATAAAAGTTCAGTTTCTACCTGATTGCCTTCCATAAAAATGGTTCCCAGATAAAATTTTATAAACTTCCAACTCACTTTTCCTTGTAAATGATAATGTGGATATGTTTATTGAAAGAAAGGGTGTTAAAGTTCAGGGCTTGCAAGATGGCTAAGCAGCCAAAGTGCTTGCCTTTCCTGATGAAGATAGGATGTCACTGTTTATTTCACGTATTACTTGTGTGTGCACACAAAATAAATAAAATGTAAAACAGTAAAATCCACCAATTAAGAATTCTATTATTATCTGGTGAACTTCAGTCATCCTAGCAGATAATCATACATGTATATGTACAAGACTTTATAACAGTGTGCTTATGTGCTATTTTAACAACTACAGCAAGTTGGGGAACCGATGCCTGTCTCCTGGGCTAGTGAGGCACTTAATTATATACAGGAAATTGATTTCACTAGACTTAGAAGACTAGGAAATTGAAACAGCAACTGTTTTCCATACAAGAAAGCCTAATTTCAAGATTACTCACAAAGCTAAGAAGAGTTATGTAAAGCACTGAAGAGGCAACTTTCATTATCCTAGTTTCTCTTAGAAGTTAGTATGCTTAATATAAAAAGAAATGAACATTTCTTTTCATTCATATTATTGTATATGTGAATGCATGATGCATGTGATGAAGATCCAAGGCGTGGCGTGACTTCTCTTTCCTTCATGTAGTACCCAGGGATCAAATTCAGGTCATTCGGCTTGGTGCCATTTTCTGATCTTTGTTTAAAACTCATATTACACTACTGAAGAGTAACAGAGAGAGGTTAATGAGGTTACGGTGGGTTGCTCTACTACAAGCCACTAACCAAGTCTGCCACTTCTTTTCTCTCTGAAAACACATCTTCCTTAATTTCTTAATGTTAAGGTCATCGTGTTCTTTATAAGCTTTTAAGGAACTGGATTTCAATTTGTGGAAAGTGAAATCCATTTAGTGGTTTAAAAATGTTAATTATAGAAACCGGAACAGTGGCTCTGTGTTTAAAAGCATTTGGTGTTCAGTCATGAGTTTGGACCCCAGCACTCACATCAGGTTACTCACAAATGTCTGTAATTGCCAGGTTTAAGAATCCAACACCTTTTTCTGGCCCCTGTCGGCACCTGCACATACACTTGCATCTACACTAAGAGACATGCACATACACACAAATCTATCTTTCTTTTTTTTTTTGGTTTTTTGAGACAGGGTTTCTCTGTGTAGCTTTGCACCTTTCCTGGAACTCACTCTGTAGTCCAGGCTGGCCTCAAAGTCACAGAGATCCGCTTGGCTCTGCCTCCCGAGTACTGGGATTAAAGATGTGCACCACCACCGCCCGGACACAAATCTTTCTTAAAAAATCTTAATAATAAAACTAATATGAATGCATTTTTCACAATTTGTTTTGTTTGGTTTTCCAAGACAGGATTTTTCTGTGTAGCTCTGGCTGTCTCGGAACTGATTCTGTAGACCAGGCTGGTCTAGAACTTAGAGATCCACCTGCCTCTGCTTCCTGAGTTCTGGGATTAAAGGCATGTGCTACTACCGCATGGCTTGCATAATTTTTTTCTTAAAGCCTGTTTCAGTACGAAGAATATAGGCATGTGTATAATTGAGATATAAAACATATTTCTAAGACTACGTTGTAACCTAAAAGTTTTAAAGCTACCAATCAAAGGCCTCATGAAATAATAAAAGAAACAGATGACAGAAATCTTTCCTAAAATGTCATCTCTGTAATTCTGTGGTTTGTCAAAATGGTCTCTAATATTCAACATGTCCTACTCACCCTTATCTCCTTTGTTCTAATTAAGTAGTACGGTTATTATGCTTCTTGCTGCCCTTGATCCAGATTCCACCATATCTAACGTATACTTTAAAATTTGGAAAGGTTTCTCTTAAAATATTGTTGAGGGCTTTTTGTTGTAGGTTTATTGCTACTTAAATCTACCTTAATATTAAATTGTTTTTAAACTGATAGTACTTGGTTGGCCCATGGATCATGTAGCCAGAGGCATCTCTTTCCACCTAAATCACCTCACTAGGAAACAATTTTTAGGTATCTATCAAACCTGAGTGGAAATGCTTGTATTTAATTTTAAAAGCCAAAATATATAGTTGTATCCATAAGCTATAATAGGTCATAAAACTTTATTAGTTTAAGTATTATGGTTAGGAGAATCATTAAAAAATATGAAAGTGCAAATTGATAAAAACTGCTTTTAATATTGCTACAACAGTCCCCCAGGCAACAGCAAACAATAGAAATGTTTATTCTAGGACCAGATATTACTTCCTGAGAAGCTGGTTCCTATAAGACAGCTGGTCTTTACAATTCTTCTTAGGATTAGAGTTACAAGAAGTCAATCATTTCTACCCCCTTAAAGGAGGAAAGGTAAGTGCAGGCAAAAGGAACTGTTTTAGCTAAGATATAATACTCTCTAGTGTCAGTGCCTACGGACTTAGTAAAGCTTTTACATCTTCAGACCCTTCGGTATCCTTGACTTACTGATTCTTCTACCTTTGTGAACGGCTCATTCCAATATTTACTAGTTGACCTGTATTACTAGTCCCAAATGTTGGCATTGCCTGTGGTGCTTCTGTTTGACCTTAAATCTATTCATACTCCCTTGGGCCTCTAAACATCATTGACAATTCTTAGTTCTGGCCTAGATCACTCTGCTGAGCCCCACTAGTCCCTCCATGTCTTCAACTTGCTACACTGAATGCATCATTTTCATTACCACAGCCCTCTCACTCCCATCCCCTCTAAAGCACTCTCTAATGTTATCTAGCAACTTAGGTCAAAACTACAAACCGTATACTGCTTCAGCCTGTGTTGAAATTACAGGTGTGAACCACCATACCTGGCTTGTATAAAGGATGTTAAGTGCAATCATGTTGAATTGTTTAATGAAACTGAATTAAAAAAAAATCCAGAAAAACCTTTACGTTTGAACGTATTTTGTTCTTACAAAACTGTTAACTGGTAACTTTGCATGTTTAATGTACTACTGCTGTCTGTAGTTAATGAGAAGTTAGGAATTACTATGCTTTACTAGCTGGGTCGCAGCAGCAGCAACCACAGAACTCTCAGGTTTTCGTAATGAAAGCAGAAACTAAAGAAAAATGACAACTGTGTCCAGTTTAATTACAAATAAGAAAAGGATCACCATGTGGCTACATCTCTTCATTCTCATGAATCTCCCCAACTCCCAGATCCTCTTGACCCTTTTTAAGTATGAATAACCATAGTTGGTTAGGTCAAAACCTGACCTTGATTTGGTCAAAAACACCCTTCAAAGATGTTGATTATAATTCAAAGAGATACAAAACTTAGCACCTCTGTAATATTAAAATAAAAACAAAACAAAAAACAACCAAACGACTTGATTTTTTAAAAACCCAAAATACTCATAGCTGCCTGAAGAGGAGATCTTGATCCTTTCACTAAACATACTCTTCTCATATCCACAGGAAGCCATCTGGACAAAAGTCAAAATGAATCCATTACTCATTTCCTCTCCGGCTCTTCTTGTGGCTTTTCTTAGACCTGGAATGGGATATAAATCATTAAGTTGAGGAGCAAATAAGGAAGGCTATCACAGTATGCTGACACTGATGCACAGAGATGACGTAAACATTAGATACACTCTGTGTTTTGTTGACAGTCTCTCACTTCTGCCTCCCCAGGGCTGGGATTACAGGTGTGCATCACCATACCCAGCAGAGTTTTGTTTGTGTGTGTGTTGCATGCCTGTATACATGTGCCCACGCACTTGAGTGTATATGCATGTAAAGACTGGGAATTGTGACCCTTGTGTCACAATTGTGATCCTTGAATGCTCTTTTGAGGCAGGATGTGCTGGTTTTTATTGTCAACTTGACACAACCCGGTGACCTAGGAAAAAGAACTCTCAATTGAGGATTTGTCAACATTAGACTGGCTTTTCACCAGTCGGTGAGAGACTGTCTTAAATGATGTAGGAGGGCCCAGCCTGCTGAGCGCAGCACCATCACAAGGTAGTTGGGTCTAGGCTCTGTAAAACTAACCAGAGAGTGAGGCAGCAGCTTTCCTCCGTGGTTCCTACTTGAGTGTCTACCCCGACTTCCTCAATCTCAGACTGTTACCTGGAAGTATAATCTGAAATAAACCTGTTGCTTTGGGTCATGCTGTTTATCTCAGTAACAGAAAGAAAATGGATCTCTCAACTGAAAGTAGAGCTCAAAATGAAGCTAGTATTCTTTCTTGTCTTGAGGATCCTATCCAGAGTGCTGAGATTCAAGGCAGTAAATCACCTGCCTGGCTTTTTAAGTTGTTTTGAGGATTTAGACCCCTTTGCCTAGCAAGCATTTTTTCCTTCAAGCCATTGAGATACTATCAGTTGTTTTTTTGTTTTTGTTTCTGGTTGTTTTTTATGGTTCTGAACAGCACTCTGAGCCACGCATTATTACCTAGAATTTGCACTAAACAACTACCTCATAGTGTAAGAATATACCTATGGATATATTCTAGGGTACATGGCCCACAGGGTTCTAATGAAGATCACTTAAAAATGACTTGTCCAAGGACTCAACTGTTGCTTTCAAATTTAGTTCTTGGGCTAGAGAAACAGCTCTGTGGTTAAGAGCAGGCACTGTTATAGAGTACGTAAGTTCAGGTCCCCCCCCCCCCCCTCATTGGGTGGCTCACAATAACTGCAGTTCCTGGGGATTCCATACCTTTGGCCTCCACTGGCATCTGCACAGTGTATGCAGATAAACACATATACACAATTAAAAATAAAAAAAGCCCAGAACCACTGAGACTATATCTCCCGCACTGTTCAAAGCTTTAATTCTAAAAAGGAGAAGAAGGTGCAAAAGAAATAGAATGCTAGAAATTCTCAATGCAAAAAAAGCCGGGTGGTGGTGGCACACGCTTTTAATCCCAGCACTCGGGAGGCAGAGGCAGGCGGATCTCTTGAGGTCCAGGAAAGGTGCAAAGCTACACAGAGAAACGCTGTCTTGAAAAAAAGCTTGTAATGAACTATCAGTACCCACATCAAAACAAAATTTCCCATCTTGGTTATATTGGAAACTTTTAACTTTTGAATAAAGGATTAAATGTGTAGATGTCCATGTGCACATGTGGAAGCCAGAGGTAAATATCAAGTGTCTTCCTAACTCCCTCTCCCCGCTTTTCCTTTTGGAGACAAGGTCTCTCACTGAACGTGAAGCTGGCTGATTGGCTCCTCAGGTCTTCCTGTCTCCAGCACTAAGATTTCAGGTGGACCTGGCTTTTAGCATAGATGCTGTGGGTTGAATTCCAGTCCTCATGCTTGCATGAGAAGCACTGTACCTAATGAGCCACCTTCCCAGCCCAGGATTAAATTCTTAAAATAGAGGTTTAACCCATACCTTTCAGGAGACTTTGAGTGACTCCTATGTCTGTGACTACGGTGGTGACCTAGGGAAGAAAAGGTCATTGGATGAGTTTCTGTTCCCCCACCTGCAGGCTATCATTCTCACCTCCCCCAATGCCTCTCATTCACATACGACCGACCTTATTGGCCTATTTTGAGCACACCACTTCCTATCAACTCTCTGGTTGGTTGGTAGTTGTGGCAGGGAATGCAGCAATAAAACCATATATCCAGAGTATTACGGCTAACTTCATGAAACAGGCTTTGACCAATATTATACTAGACATTTCTGCAATTTGGATAAAAATGCAATCCCATCACCAGAGTCCAATGAGTAGTCTCACTTTTGAATTCCATGTCCATTTCCTTTCCTGATAGGTAGTAGTGCAGTTAGGTGTTTTGTGTTGCAGGAGTCTTAATGCTCCTTTTAGATTTCTTTACTAAGACAAGCAGGAAAGAGCCCAAATACTATACCTGGGGATTTAGAGCGGGATCTGTGTCGTCTGTCTCGCGACCTGCTTCGATGGCGTCGTGGACTCTTGCTCCTGTGCCTTTCTCGGCGTGGGGAAGGGCTATGGGGAAAACAGCTAGCTCAGCACGTTTTGCAGTGAACACCACCACCACTTCCCCTTTCAAACCCTCTTCTTGTCAGAAATGACTCAGGACTCACCTTCTTCTTTTGGGGGACCTACTTCGCCTGTGGCAAGAGGAAGAGCAGGTTAGTGCACTGGACATTGTGAGTGGCAATAATAAATAAATACGTAAATAAAGTTCACACAGCCTTTTTTTAAGAGGGGACGAGTGCTGGGGACTGAACAGTGGCTCCTGATTCTTATCTGTATCTATGTCTTAAATATAGTACACTTCTAACACTCTGGCCATGCAACTTATTTTGACCAGTGGGATAATAGCAAATATGATGCAGATACAAGAAAAACACTTGCAGGAAGGACCTGTTGTCTCTTGAATTCTGTCACCTCCTTCAGAACATAACAGCTGAAGCTGCTGCAGAATGGGAAATACAGAGAAACTGCTCTAGCCATCTTTATTAAGGTTTCTCTCTACTGTCTGGGAAATGCATACTCACAACAGGTGAGCAAACAACTATATCGAAGCCCAGCCTTATTCACTGACCACAAACTAAGTAAATTAAAGAAATGGGTTTTTGTGGGTGATGGTTCAGTAATAATAGGGAAACAGATACACTGGCAAGCATTATAGGCTAATAATATTTTTCCTTCCCTGAAAGGCTGTAGTGGTCCAGCCCTACCTCCTGGGAGACCGACTCCGACTCCTCCTGTAGCGCAGTGCAGGAGAACGTCGTGGCTTGTCCAAGTCTCGGTAGCTTCTTCTTCGATGGTCAGGTGATGGTACTCTTTCCAGCTTGAAACAAGATGGATGAATACTGGCTTTTACTAAAGGCAGCCATGCAAGAACATAGTTATTGTCCCCTCCCAATGTACATCTTTTAAGTCACTTTGAAGCAGTGATTTGACTACATAGTGACAAAGAATTACCAGTACCAGCAGCCAGTGACTGTGAGTAATAAGAAAAATAATGCAGTTATGTGGCACACACTTTTAATCCCAGCATTTGGGAGGCAGATCTACAAAACAAGCCTGGTCTATAAAACAAGTTCTAGGACAGTCAGGGCTACACAGAGAAACCTTGTCTCCAAAAACGGGGGAAAAAATCCTTATTTCCTTAGGCTGGATTTCCAGTGTGAAAGAAAGAAATAGATGTAAGACCAGTAATGTTAAATGCAAAGTCACGGTGGATTTTAATCTTTAAAATAATTTCCTCTAGCTCTAACAAAAGTGTAGCAGCAGTAGCCAGGCATGGTGGCTTTAATATCAACAGTAGGAAGGCTGAGGCAGGTGGATCTCCATGAGTCTGAGGCCATTCTGGTCTGTATAGTTGCAGGACAGACAGACAGAGCGAGAAAGACCTTGTCTAGGGAAGAAAAAAGAAGACAAAGTGTAGCAACACAGAGATTGTTACCTACTTCTTGGACAGATGCGTACTTTCATGTTTGGAGTACACAAGAGGCTAGATGTGTGTAGAAGCTAGAACATACCACCATCATATAAAAAGCAAGGAAGCTATCAAAGCTGTGAAGGTATCAAGAAATCTCAGAAGTGGTTGGATAAGAGGTCTCTGTTGGCCAAAGGTTTAAGTATCTACATGGATTAACACACCAAATTTGCTTAAACTATGGTGTTACCCATGGCAAAAGAGCATCACCTTGAGAGGATATTATAGAACCAACCTACGATTTTTTTTTTTTTTTTTTGGTTTTTTGAGACAGGGTTTCTCTGTGTAGCTTTGTGCCTTTTCCTGGAACTCACTTGGTAGCCCAGGCTGGCCTCGAACTCACAGAGATCCGCCTGGCTCTGCCTCCCGAGTGCTGGGATTAAAGGCGTGCGCCACCACCGCCCGGCAACCTACGATTTTTTGTGCCTATCTTCATAAGAAATTCATCTTTTTTTGCAGGGAGGGAGACAGTATCTCTGGCCTGTAGCCTTTAAACTATTATTATGAAAACTTAATATGCTGATTTGGAAGTTTTCCTCTCCTTATGAATATTCTAGATAAAAAAAATGAAGATATAAAAGAAATAGAATAGCTCACCATTTTATAACACACCTAGGCATTGACTGGCAGTGGATCCTAACATTACAAGTGAGACAAGACCAGTGGGATGGCTCAGTGCCCACACCCACAAGAGAAAGAGAACATGAGAAATGAGAGAATATGTCAGCCAAACATAGTGTCTCACACCTAGCACTTTGGAAACCGAGGCAGGAAGACCAGGAGTTTGAAGTCATCTTAAGCTATGCAGCATGTTAAAGGCCTGCCTGGGTTACACGAGACCCTGCCTTAAAAGATAAAACAACTACAAAAAGTCTATATTGGTTCATTTCCCAGAGAAGACATCGACTTTCCATGACTTCTGATCCACAGAGAATGGCCTTTTCTTTTGCACTCACTCGAAAGGGAGCTGATAAACTCCATTTGAATTGTCGCAGGATCCATGGCAACGTTTGTATTCCTCTCTTGGTTTAAGTACTTTAAATTATTTTTATTTTACGTTTGCATGTGTTTTGCCTTGCATGCATGATTTGTGCACTCTGTATATGCAGCACTTGGAGAGGCCAGAAGTGGGTGTCAGAGTCCTTGGAACTAGAGTTACAAAAGTGAGCTGCCATGTGGGTGCTCGGAATCAAACCTCTGTCCTCTGGAAAAGCACCCATGCTCTTAACTGCTGCACCACCTGTCCAGCCTCTGTACATTTTTAATTCTCTGAGGTCACTTCAGCAAACTGCCAGTCTGGACTGCCACCTCCTAAGACACCAATTACTGCTTTTGGTACAAAGTTGCATAGGTCAGAGAGCACTTTCTTTTCCTTCTTATAAACCCTATTAACTTTAGTATATGCTGTTTTAGGACATGAAGTTTTCTCCGCATCACACATATGGTTGTGAACACATATATGTTACAGTAGATATATCTGTATGCCTCTTAGAATTTTTCATTTTACTGAAAACTTACTTTAGATTATTTCAGACAGGGCAGATAAACTATTTAATCTGATAAAGGGCTTACTGTGCTCTCAATAGCATATTATATATGGGTTCTGGGATTGTGCCTAATTTCTTTTGTTGTTTCAGTTGTCTAAGACAGGGTCTTGCTAAAGGTGGTCTGCAGCCTCCTATGTAGCCCAGGCTAGATTTCAAACTCTTAGTCTGTCTTTATCTCCTAGTGCTGGGATTACAGACCTGTACAACCACACCCAGATCTTAATGTCTATTTTTTAGAAATTGTTCCTATAGTATGGCTATTTAAGCTCCTATATTTTCTTTTTTAAAGATTTATTTATTTACTATGTATACAGTGTTCTGCCTGCCTGTATGCCTGCAAGCCAGAAGAGGGCGCCAAGTCTCATTACAGATGGTTGTAAGCCATCATGTGGGTGCTGGGAATTGAACTCAGGACCTCTGGAAGAGCAGCCAGTGCTCTTAACCTCTGAGCCATCTCTCCAGCCCCTAAGCCTCTATATTTTCTAAACTGCAAAGGAAAACCATGAATTCTCTCTCTCTCTTTCTCTCTCTCTCTCTCCGTGTGTGTGTGTGTGTGTGTGTGTGTGTGTGTGTGTGTGTGTGTTACTAAGAATTGAACCTAGGGGCCAGGCTGGTCTATATAGTAAAACTCTGCACCCCACCACAAAAAAAAAGAAAAGAAAAAAAAAAAAGGAAAACCAAGGCCTTTATTATAGCAACGAATAAACCAAAAGGAATTTAGGGATAAATTAAAAGGAATAAACCTAGAAAGACTAAATGTAGGTAAATTGTACAAGTTTACATATAAAACTTCTTTAAAACCTTTAAAGGTATAGATACCATGTTTGTGGATATAGATGCCATTATCATCTCTGTTTCCCATGATTCTGTTACAAATTCAATGTCGTTTTTTTTTTTAATATTTGAAAATTATTTACGTTGGATGTGCATGTGTGAGAGTGCACAGACATACTTGCATGTGTGGGTGTCCTGGGAGACTAGAGGGTGTTAGATTCTCCTGGAGCTGGTGTTCAAAGCTTTTGTGAGCCATTTCACATGGGTGCTGTAGTCCAGCCAGTACTCTAGAAGATGAACTCTCTCTCCAGCCCCTCAATGTAACCCTACTCATAATCTCGGTAGATTCTATCATTTCCATCAAGACGGACCTGAGGCTGAAGAGATGGCTCAGTGGTTTAGAGTACTTGTTGCTGTTGCCGAGGACCTGGGTTCAGATTCCAGCTCCGCCAGGTGGCTTACAATAACCTGTAACTTCAGTTCCAGGGGAGTCTAACCCTGGTCCCCAAGGGCGCCTGCGTTCACGTGCACATATCCAGACACACACAGAGCTGTAACTAAGCCGGGGAGGGAGACAAACAGTGGGCGGAAGCAGCAAAGCTGCTACTGAAGGAGGCTGGAAGAGGCGCTCGCCGTCCTAAGTCTTTGTGAGGTTACACAGTGCGGCAATGTCCTAACTGCGCACATTTGCCAGCGGAAGAAAGTGACCACAGATGGAACGACATCCACAACTTATGACAAGTTTGTGACAAAGATGGCAATGCGGTAAATAGAGGATAAGAAAGAAGATCAAAAAATAGCACAAGGGACAGGAATAGATAATTCCACCTTGAGGAAATTAAGAGATCTGGCGCCCTCTTCTGTATATATAATAAATAAATCTTAAAAAAAAAAACTTGGATAAAACATTTGTCATGCTTGAACACACTCTAAGGAGGGAAGTTAACTACTGCATAGTCAAGTTTTGTCAGAACTAATAATTATAGTGCTGAAAAGCTTGAGGGAAAATTCACCAATATAAAACTTAATTTGAGGTTAACTTCTTAGTTTTGGGGACAGGGTCTCCTGTGGCAACTCTGGCTAGTCTCAGACTCACGGGGCTTTATCTGTTTCTGCCTCTTTGGAGAGCTAGAGTGAAAGGTGTATGCCACCACGCCCACAAGGCTACCATTTCTTATATCTCCTTCTGGACCTTTCTATGTATAATGTTTCCTAGAATTTAATTACAAATGCTTTAGAGCTATTTTACTATAAGCACTTTCGCATTATCATTTTTAATGGCTACTTAATAATCATGTTAATAATCTACCTGACTTCCTCAGTCATTGACACCTGGGGAGCGTGACTGTTTTCAAGCTTTTCAGCACTATAATTATTAGTTCTGACAAAACTTGACTATGCAGTAGTTAACTTCCCTCCTTAGAGTGTGTTCAAGCATGACAAATGTTTTATCCAAGTTTTTTTTTTTTTTTTTAAGATTTATTTATTATATATACAGAAGAGGGCGCCAGATCTCATTACAGATGGTTGTGAGCCACCATGTGGTTGCTGGGAATTGAACTCAGGACCTCTAGAAGAGCAGTCAGTGCTCTTAACCTCTGAGCTATCTCTCCAGCCCTTATCCAAGTTTTTAATAGCTACCATTCATTAACCAACTATGTGGAGATATACTAAGACCTTCACGAACACAACAATCTTCAGAGAAAAGTACTATTAGCCTGAGACTGTGGATTCAGTCCTTCACACAAAGGGAGAAAAATCAGGACTATTAAGATCATACCATTGCTATGACAGGGCTGAGGCATTCAAGCCAAGGGGTATTTGACTCTAACAGTCATTTTAATTAGAATATAAGCTCTTCTTTATTAGGCTAGCATCCCTGAGGCAGATCTGAAATGTCTATATAGCCTGATCCACATAATAGGACCCTCCTTGTCCAAAAGGACCCCAAAAGTAATTAATTCACAAAGGATTTAAAGAGGCTGGTGGTGGTGGCACACGCCTTTCATCCTAGCACTTGGGAGGCAGAGGCAGGTGGACCTCTGTGAGTTTGAGGCCAGCCTGGTCTACAGAGTGAGTTCCAGGATAGTCAGGGCTACATACAGAAACCCTGTCTGGAAAAAAACAAAACAAAACAAAAAAGTAAAAAGAAAAGATCATCATTAATTTAAAAAGGAAAACTTGAAAAATAAGGGCTACTTCCTTCCTTCCTACCCCTTAAAGCTTTCATATGCCTTACCTTCTCATCTTCTTCTTCCTCCTCTTCACTGGATTCCACGTCATCCATGTCCTCTTCTAGAGCACTAACTCGGGGCTCCAGTTGTTCAGCTTCCTCCAGCACATAGCGTTTCTAGAGAACAGAGGAAAAGTTAAGTCATTGCTATTTCCTCCTGGTCCTGATCCTAACACTGAAAAGCTGTGGAGCAACAGCTCCCTATAATATTACTACACTTCAAGACTTTCCTAAGAAGTTAGTATACCTGGAATATGTATCTCTTTTAGTTCCACTACAAACATAAACAGAATGCTGAACAGAACAAGTTCATTTTCAATCGGTTCTGTTTACTGTGGTCTTATACTATAAGATCACTGGACTGTCAATCAGTTTGTGTGTAGTCAAAATGTTAACCTCAGGGCTGGAGAGATGATTCAGCAATTGAGAACACTTACTGCACTTGGAGAGGACCTGAGTTCTGTCCCCAATATCCACATGGTGGCTCACCAGTTCCAGAGGATCCAATGACCTCTTCTGGCATTCTCTGATTGAGGGTAAGAACTGATTCTTAAAAACTGTCCTCTGGCCCTTACATGCCTTGGCATGCACATGCATGCACACACACACTCCACTAATAATGATTAGTAAATAATAAAATTAAAAAGCAAATATTTTAATTTTATACAGACAAATAGGTTAATTTGTGATACATGTGATGAATGTGCAAATATATGTGCCCATGCTAATTCATGGAAGGCCAACCAGGACCTTGGGTGTCTTCTGTTTCTCCCCATCCTACTGCATGGAGACAGTCTTTCCCTCAACTGGAAGCCTGTCATTTCGGCTGTGCTATTTGGCTAGCAAGTTCTAAGGATCTGTCTGCCACGCTTGGGTTACAGGCACTTAGAAGCCATGCTTTGTACATGGGTGCTGGGGATTTGAACTCAGATCCTCATGTGTACAGAACAAGCACGCTTACTCACTGAGGCACTTCCCCAGCATGAGGTGGTTTTGTTTTTGCTTTTTCATTGTTTGTTTGTTTGTTTTTTGAGACAGGGTCTCACTATGAAGGCTTTGTTGTCCTAGAACTAGACCAGGATGGCCTCAAATTCAGAGACTGCCTCCCAAGTTCAGGGATGAAAGGCCTGTGCCACAATATCCTTTCAGTGGAGGCTTTTTTTCTCTCTCAATATTTAAAAGTTTTATCTGTGAGTGTGAGCATGTGTATAAATACACACTTGAAATTTCCACTACAATCAAGATAGTCAATCTCTTCCATCCTTTTAAATTGTCCTGCAGGTCTACTTTAGAGATGTAAGGGAAGAACTAGTGGAGACAGTCACAAATACCATGATTCACCTGGCTTCTTTTCCTCTAATTATATATATTTCGTGATTCCTTCCTTCCTTTTTTGTCTCACTATGTAACCCCGGCTAGCCTCGAAATTGCGATGTAGACCCGGCTGGCCTTAAACTCATAGAAAATTGCCTGTCTCTGCCCCCTAAATCCTGGGACTAAAAGCATGCATCACCATACCTGGCACAGTTTCCTTTGAGCCAAGCCTCCCCTCCCCTTTTATTCTTGTCAACAGGAATTTACCACTTTCCAGATAGGGTTCTATAATCATACAGGAACTTAGGTTAAATCCTTATCCAGTCAACTCTCCACTACAGCACATTCCATTTCTCTTTAGGTTATCAACCACATCTTTCTTCTCTTTGCATTTTGCAACAGTAGTTTTAAAACTAAAAATCAGAATCTTAACCAGGCATGGTGGTACAAGCTTACAATCCCAGCACCTGAAGAGAGAGGCAAGAGGACAGCCAGGTTCATAGGGTCAGTTTCAGGCCAGTTACTGCCCTATGGTGAAGAGTATCAAAAAACACAACAAAACAAAAAACAAAACACCACCAACCACCCCACAACCTTGAAGGGTGCTTTGTGGATAATCATCACTCCGGATGTGAGGCAGGATGATAAACAAGAAGTTTAAGGGATTGAGTGTTCACTTTCTCATTCCAAGTTCCGTTTTTTCTGTTTCATAGCCTAGCTCACCATTTAAAACAAAAGACAGCAGCTACAATGCCTGTGAGAATGCATCCTGAAGAAGAAACCTTTTCTCTAACTTGCACTTCCAAAGCCCTAGCCTTGAAACATCCCTCCCAGCTTCTACCTCATTCCCTGTCCTGTATAAAGTTTGACATAAGGACTTATGAAGACAATCCTTAAGACGTCAGTGTTTCAATATGTATTTGTGTTTGTGTGGGAGGTAAAAGGTGACTCTGATAATAGACCCTTGTCTCATACCTGTAGCCGGGGCAAAATGATATCACAGACTCTCTCACTGTGCAGAAGTTCATCAATGAACTCATCTACGTGCATCAGTTCAAACTCTGGAAGAGAAAATGATTACTTCAAGCAACCTGGAAACGATAGACTTAGTTAACCAAAAAGTCAAAGAATCATGAAATTTTATATGAAGCTCCCTACATGCCACGCCTCTGTATTTATTTATTTTGGAGATGGGGACTGAACCTGGGGCCTTGTCTTTGCCTATCTAGCGCTCTGCCACTGAGCTAAATTCCTAACCTCTTTAAAATTTTGAATTACTTTATTTATTGCATATGCACATGCAAACAAGTGTGCATGCTCTTGCCACAGTACATGTGCAAACGTTAGAGGAAAACTGAATGTGTTCTATCCCTCCATCATCTGGGTCCCAGGCTTAAGTCAGACTTGACAGGAAGTATCAGCCCAATCAAGCCTCTTCAGAAACAAGGGACTAAGAAATGAATGAGCCTGCTCCAAGTCACAAAAAATGGGCTGTGGGCATAGTTCAGTGGTAGGGCACTTGCCTTGTATGTATGAAGTGCTAGGTTCGATTTTTATCAACACCACAAAACAAAAAACAGGAGACAAACACAAAAGTAAACACAAATAGTCTTGAATTATGTAGGATAATACTGAGTAGATAACTCAAGATTATAAATTCTAATAGGTCACTTAATTGTAATTTCTCACATTAGCCAACAATGTCCCTGAATATACAATTCTTTCTCTTTTAGGGGCCTATGGTGAGGTAGCCCAGCAGGTAAAAGCACTTGCCACCCAAGCCTGATGATCTGCGTTTGATCCCAGGAGCCCACAGTGGAAAAAGTGGACCAATTTTTAGATTTGTCTTTTGACTTCTACATATGCACCAGAGCACACATGTGCTTACTTACGATCACAATCACAAACATAAGACACATACAGAAATAAAATATTAAAACAAAGACTACTATTTTTTATAGCACAAAAATGACATGTTCTTTTAGAATCTCCTTCTTAATATTATCTTAGTTTTATAGTCCTAACTACAAGTGACTTTGTATACCTCTATTACCTTACTTACAGGAAGTGCTGGCTGTGCCCGTTAGGGAGTGTACAGGGACGCTGCTGAACATACAGCCATGTACAGGACGACTACAGAGCAGAGAATTACCTAGCCTAACCGGGCCGGCGGTGGTGGCGCACGCCTTTAATCCCAGCACTCGGGAGGCAGAGCCAGGCGGATCTCTGTGAGTTCGAGGCCAGCCTGGACTACCAAGTGAGTTCCAGGAAAAGGCGCAAAGCTACACAGAGAAACCCTGTCTCGAAAAACCAAAAAAAAAAAAAAAAAAACAAAAACAAAAAACCTAGCCTAAACGGTCAACACTTTGAGAAATCCCATCTTAGTTTACTACAATATAAGTAACTCATTCAAAAAACGACAACAGTCACATCCATCTGTTCACCATGTTGACTCCAGTCCCTGGCATAACACTGGGCATATCAATTCTCAATACATATTAGTTCAGGGAAGAAATATATTAATAAAAGTTTACAGCACAATACAGATTGAGAATGCCTAAGACAAAAAATCCTAAATTCGAAATGATCTCAAATCTGAAACTTTTTGAACATGAACATGATACTCATTATGTTTTGGATTTTGAAGTATTAGAGGTTTCTGGATAGAGATATTATCTGATGGTTTATACAACCATTCCAAAATCTAAAATGTTGAAATTTACAACACTCTGGTTCTAAGCCATTTTGAATAAGGAATATTCAACTTATATTAAATCTTCTATATTCCAAAGAAGAAAGGTGTCTCTCTCCAATTGAGAGGTTCTGGTTGTATTATCACAAAGCCTTCCTTAACATAGAAGGTGTATCTCTGAGGATACAAGGCCTGGAACTCAATGGCAGGATACTTCTCATATGCATGATGCCCTAGATTCAGGTCTCCAATACTGCTCCTTCCTTCCCCTCCCCCCAAAAAGACAGGCATAGTCATGCACACCTGTAATTCCCATATTGAGGAGGCAGCGGCCAGAGAATCAGAAGTCTGAAGTCCTCCTTAGCTACACAGTGTTGAAGGTCAGCTTCAACATGACACATGCCCTCAAAACAAGACAAAACAAAACCAAGATGTATGTATAAAACATATAGAGCTGTCTCCTTGGATATGTTTAGCATTTTCAGTGGACTCCCACATGAATAACATAGGTCCACTTAGTCTAAAAGTATAGCACGGAGTAGCCTGCAGGAAAAAAAAAAGGCTATAGTATTTGGAAAATGACTTTGGACAGGCTAAGTCAGATTTTATAGAGAAACCATTTTGAAGCTTCTAGATCTTGTGGATGGAGCAGGTGTGGAAGATATAGCTCATATAAATCAGTTGTTTACCATACAATGCAGCAGGAAAGGGAGGCAGCCAAGTGCCAAAAGGGTTAAGGCCAACCAGAAGCCAATGCATCCAGTGAGGGAGATGGAAAATTTGGATGAAGACAGTAATAAGGCAGAGGGAGAGGAACATTTCGTGTATGTGAAAATGAGTAGAGATCCAGGTGAATACAACTGGCCGACGACAACTAACAGTCTAGAGACGTGGTATCATACTCACCCCCATTCCGGTTCTGGCTCTTGATTTTTCGATAGTCATTGTACAAAGGCTCCAAGTACTTGTAGCAATCAATTGCAGTTCCTGTCAGCCTCATGTAAAGTGCCCCCAACATCCGGACATACCTAACACAGAGAGGACATTGAAACAACAGGCCAGCCTAAGAGTTCCTGAGTTTTATAGCTGGCTTTTCTCATGACAATAGTAGATAAAAGTATTTTGTTTTGTTTTTCTTGTTATTAGATAAGAAAGCCATAATTTTGAAGGTACCATAGAACAGATGATGGCTAAAATATGAACTTCCTAATAGATTACTGTCTATGGGAGCTTGGTACATGTTGCTCAACTTTCAGATATATCATCTATAAAACAGAATTAGCCTAAGATTCCAAAATGATAATAAATTTAACAACAAGGCATTATCTACATTTTATAACAATGCTAGAACAAGTATACATAGCCACAAACATATGTTCTGGAAAAAGGTCAAAGTCATAGAGGTTAAAATTCTGATCTTGCCAGGTGGTGGTGGTGGTGGTGGTGGTGGTGTATGCCTTTAATCCCAGCACTCGGGAGGCAGAGGCAGGTGGATCTCTGTGAGTTCAAGGCCAGCCTGGCCTACAGAGTGAGTTCCAAGATAGCCAGCAATACAGAGAAACCCTGTCTCGAAAAATAAAAATAATAAATAAATTAAATGAAAAATTCTGATCTCATACATTACTAACTTTGATAGCAGACATGGAATTTGTTTTCTCAACCTCTAACATGGAGAAGCTGCAACCTAATTTATAGCCTTGGTGCCATAAATAAATGCAAGGAAAACTGTTAGAAGGACAGGAGCATGTATTAAGTCCTTACAAATTGAGCTATTTTTCTAGTTCATTTTTTGTAATATTCCTTCTTTTTCTTTATCTCATGTATCCAATTCCTTATTCAAATCTCCATTTGAAATCCAAGCTTCATCGTATGAGAAGAGCAGTATAACAAAGAACATGCATATTCTGACATGAGTCATAGCTGAGGCCCTGCACTCAGGAAGCAGAGGACAGAGAACTGCCATAAACACAAAGCCAGTCAGGACTACACTGTGAGGTACTATCTCAATCAAAACACAAAACAAAACCCACAAAAAGCAAGTGTACTCTGAAGACAGCTTTGCCTCCCCAGTTCACAGCAAGAATCACACCCAGATGCCTGCATTTGTTCTACTTCCAAGCTTTACCTCAGCCCCAGACCTGCCACTTACTGGTCTGACCTTAGGTAAACTCCTTACACCTGCTCTGTGTCTCAGTTTCTTCCCATGTAAAATAGGCATTCTATTTTTAAAGCAGTGGTGTAACAACAAAATGAATCACTATATATAAAGCCCTTAAAACACATCGTGGTACTTGGTCAGCTATTATACCTACTCTGAACTGCTAGAGAGTGGATAATATGGAGCAGTTGATTATGTTTACCATGCATTGGTAAGCTGAAAAAAATTAAAGAAGACCACAGTCAATAGGTGTGTGTGTGTACATATATTTGTGTATATTTATTATGTATATTATTTAATTTGTGAAATACTCTTGAGGAAGGGGGAGGTTACTAAGACTGATATACATAACCACAACAGCCAAAATACAAGTTCAAGGGCAAAAGCCTGTGGAAATGAGACACATAACACTCAGTCCTACTAACAAAGCCCAATTTTGAGCCACTAAAATTTTTGTACTAGTCAAAATTGTACTCACTTGAAATCTTCATTTTTTATGAACTCAACAATGATATCCTTCTCAGGTTGAATCTGAAGCATCTTCAAGGTTAAACACAGAAAGGGAGTTGGCTTTATGTTTCCACCGTAGACACCACCCACAAACCTTAACTCCATGGCTTTGTCGACCACAAGTTCAGCTGAAATAACCAAACACAAATAGTGACATCTTAGACATAGTAAAGGTCTTAGCTTTTCTTGATTAGTGGGTGAAACAGTTGAAGGTTTAGAGCTCCTAGATAGTCAACAAGAATTTAGTATTAGGAAAACAAGAGCTTATTAACAATAGTAATAAAAATGACTGCCTGGAACTACCCCAATGAAGAAAGACATACCCCTTATCCCAGTCCTCATTAGTTGTCTGTAGTCCGCCAAAGAAGATGGGACTCGTGAGTCCTCAATCTTTATACAACAAATCGTGGAGGGAAAAGTCCTGTCATTACCTCCAGATGCTGGGCATTGGTGGCACACGCCTTTAATGCCAACACTCGGGAGGCAGAGGTAGGCGGACCTCTGAGTTCGAGGGCAGCCTGGAACGGCTCAAAGAACCAAAAGAAATCCTTCAGCACCAAAGCAGACCCTGCCAGATTTGTCTGTGTCCTATGCAGTACAAGACTGGGCACAGAGCAGTTTTTATGAATGGCTGACATACTCTATTCCAGTACCAGCACCCGAGGGTCTATCCTTCCTCACTGAGTCACAAGAAACCAGCCGCAGGCCGAGACGCGGGTGGCGCGCAGTCACTCACCCGTAAGTCCAAAGCACTCTTCTTTCCAGTACTTTGACTCATAGATCCGCGTCCGAATGATCTTCTCCACCAGATACTGAGGGTTGGTGCCATGGATGCTGTGGGCATCCTTGACCGTACGGTTCGCCATCTTAGAACGCTTTCGATTCTATTTCCGTCGGCTTCTTCAATACGTCACATCCAGGTTTTAAAAAAAAGACGTCCAGAGGCGGAGGAAACCCTTCTAAGAGCTGAAGGCCACCAGCTTGGAACCGGAAATTGCGGCGCCCAACCCTTTCCCGGGACTACGCAAGACCGGCATCAGAGATGGCGGAAGCACGTCAGGAGCCCCCCCGGTGGGCGTGGCGAGGCGGTTGAGAACGCCAATCGGAACCAGGCTGTGGGCGGGGCCACGGCTGGTGGCGCGAAAAGTTTTCTCCTCTGACTTCTAGTCGGGCTCAGGCGGGCGCGTGCTGGCGGTCCGCGGTCCGCGGTGGGGCTGGCTGTCCCGGGAGGGGTCGAGCTCGGACGGGCGAGCGCTGTGCGGCTCCCCGAGCGCCTGGACTGGGAGCGGTGGGAAGCGCGGGGGATCGGCCAGCCCTGGCAGTCTTCGGCGTGGTGAGTGCGGCTCCCGGCCCGCCGGGCGTTCTCCACAGGCTCAGGGATTTCGTTCCACACACGTGCACCCAGAGCCTGTTCAGTGGCGGGCACTGCTCTCAGCGAGCAAACTGACCCTCCTTTGCCTCCAGCGAGGTCCTGGAATACTTCCTGCTCTGCTGGAGCCAGAGTGTTTGCTGCGCGGTCCGAACCGGAAGCCCACCTCAGAGAAGCGGGTGCGGCCGGCCCCCGGGACCTAAGGCTTTGGCTTTCCACGTGCACCGCCTCTGAAAAACACTCGCATCCTTTTCTCTGGAACGGCGGAGCTAATGCTGTTAGCCGCTTTAACAACTAGCGATTGCGTCCAGAGAGAGACTTTCTCTAAGTCACCTCTTGTGACTTTGACGTCCTCCTCGCCTCCTCTGGACTCCTCTCAAACGGGTTGTCCTTAGGTGGCCTTTCATCCCCAGTCACAGAAGAGAACGTCTGTTGGCCCGCTTTCTGCTTTCTAGGGTCTAGCCCGGACCAGAATGTCCTCTTGTAACAGTTGGGGAAAGTGCGCGTCTTAAGGCTGGAGATGCGAGATTCCTGCCCAGGACTAGTACAGGTGAAACTGCAATGATAAGGCCATTTTAATTTCCCACAGAAGTCGAATAATCGTACTTCCTTTTCCACGGTATTGTTTTTTCGAGACAGTGTTTCACTGTGTAGCCCTGGCTGCCCTGGAATTCGCTCTGAACCCGGCCAGCGGCGAACTCAGAGAGTGCCCTTGCCTTTCGGACTCTGGAATTTATTTGTTTATTTATTTTGGTTTTTCGAAACAGGGTTTCACTGTGTAGCTCTGGCTGACCTGGAACTCACTCTGTAGACCACGCTGGCCTCCTCTGCCTCCTGAGTGCTTAAGGCTTGCACCACCACCGCCCGGGCAGAATTACACTTTTATTAAAAGCTGTGTTAGAGGGCAATATTTGGGTGTTGGGAGGTTTCTGAATTCTGTGAAATTGAGTTCAGTGTTTTGTGTTGACTTGTGAATTACATAATATCGTGTTGTTGAACGAGTGTGAGTTCACGCAGGTCCATGGAAAGAAGACACATCCCATTTTAAGGATTTCTTAGCCTTTCCTGCTGCAGGGGGACTCAGCCTCAGACTGAGACACCCTCCATTAGCCAAGGGCATTTTTCTCCTCCAAATTTACACTTTGAGCACGTTGATTTCCATATCTCCTAAACATCCTGACTAAACTTCCAAAGGGGTAATGACAAAGGCAAATTCTCCACTAAAGAATTTCACAGTGTGTTGGATTTTTCCCAACCAAGTTTTGCATAGGCTTTGTACCATTGAGAAACTCCCAGACAGGATTCTGGTAGAGGGCGATAAGAGACACAAAAGGTGGATTAAGGCTAGGTGCTAATACCCTGGACCCAGACCAGGTGTAGCTCAGTGGGAATTCTCCCATCAACATCAAGTTGTACTTAAATAAGATGCTGACCTTTATATTTGAATGCAGAAAGTAGTGTTACCAGATTTAGGATCACAGCCTGTGCCCTAACAAGCCAAGTTCTGCTACGTGTCCTCAATATTCCAATTAAAAGAGCCAAATCAGGACCTGCAAAGTGCACAACCAATTTTGGTTATGATATATTGTTTGTGATCTAGAAAACAAAACTTGCTGAAGACCAGAGGACAGAGTTACCCATATAAGCTCTGCGGTGGTGGTGCACACTTAATCCTAGCACTGGGAGGTAGAGACAGATCCTTCAGGATTTCTGTGAGTGTGAGGCCACACTGAGATTAACCCAGTCTAAAAGAGAACAGAGCCAGGCAGTGGTGTCAGACATCTTTGATTTCAATACCTGGGATCACACACCTTTAATCCCAGCACTAGGAAGGTTGAGACAGGAAGTTATGTGGCTGGGCAGAGAAAGGAATATAAGGCGGAAGGAGACAGGAACTAGCTCTCTTTCAGGCTGAGGAGTTGGTGAGGTAAGAGGTGGTGGCTGTGGCTTGCTCTGGTTCTCTGATCTTTCAGCTTTCACCCTAATATCTGGCTCTGGGTTTTATCAAGACCAATTAGGATTTGTGCAACAGTTGGTTGGCTCTTGACATTAAGCTAGAACCCAGGAACTCACAGGTTGGAATGAGAACCTGTTTCCTCAAATTGTCCTCTGCCTCCACATGTTTGCTGTGGCACTTGGTACGTACACGCGCGCGCGCACATGCACAAAATTAAAAAAAAATTTTTTTTCTTTTGAGACAGTGTTTTCTCTGTGTAACAGTCCTAGGTGACCTGGAACTCACTTTGTAGACCAGGCTGGCCTCGAACTCACAAAGATCCACCTGCCTCTGCCTCCTGAGTGCTGGGATCAAAGGCGTGCGCCACCACTGCCTGGCTCAAAATAAATGTTTTTTAAAGGCCAAATTAATAATGAAAAGCAGAAAAAAAGATTTCTAACAAGCCAAGTTCTGCTACATGTCCTCAACATTCCTTGAGGAAGAGAGAGAGATCCAGTGCCCCTGGCCCTGCCTCATTCCATATTTTCAGTCCTGATGTGAGAGTAAGGTTTAAATAAAAGGCAGGAGATTTGCCTTAACTAAGCAGTCTGCCAGAGGTGCCCTCACCACCACTGACTCAGACAAAGTTCCTGCCCTGGCTTCCCCTAGCTTCAGCTTCAGGATGAAATTCCTGGGGCAATCCAAATTTCTTGGGGTCCATTGTTTCTATAGTTGGTTACAGTTGGGTGGACATGGGTTTGTCATACAGTGTTTTCCCACCTTATTGCTGACATCTTAGAATAGTGCTTAGCACATGGGCATAGAGTAATCATGGTTGAATAAAAATGATACTATTATCTCCGCTTTGTGGATTAGGAAACTGAAGCCTGGTGGACCTGTCATTCTGTGATTGGGAAGCCTAACTTACTATAATAAGCTGGCAGAAGTAAATGCTCTGACATAATGCTGTCTAGTTTCACACTATATGAAGTGAGGTAGCTTAGGAACAGCCAGTGGCATCTGGCTGTTCCAAATAGAGTTAGGGCTGTGTTACCTGTAAAATTGGGCCTCTTGTTACCAAGATAACATCTTCCTTTCATTAGCAAATACTTATTGAGCATCTACTATGAATTTATGTGAATTGTTTCTGGGATTATTTTTAAGAATTAAGTGAGATACATGTCAAGAGTTTTGACTCAACTTTTAGTAAAGTTCCTTTATGCATTTGTCTTGGGTGTGGTTTCTATACTAGGTGCTGTGCATATTTCAGATTTCTGGTATCTGTAACATCAAGACCTTGTAGCCGTTATCTCTAGAAGTCAAACACTTCTTTGGACGAAGCCCGGCTTGGCTCTCCAGTCCCTTCACCATTCCTTTGCTGATAGTGGATAAGATGATGTGTGGAGAGTGAAGAAGAGCAATTCATTGAATTGTGTATTGCCACTTCAGTTCTCTTCTATACGTATGTCATTCTTTAGTGAAAAGTTGAAAAATAATTAGGAGTCCTGAAAAGAGACAACCTTAAACACAGCAGGTATTAGGCCTTTTGTACTTTAGGCATCGAATTTGGCATCTTTTCATTTTGTGAGATTTCCTATATTTTGTGTGTGCTTGTGCTTGTCAACTTTCTGTGGCTATGACAAAATATTCAAAAAACAAAAAACCTAAAACAAGGAAAGATTTATTTTGGCTCACTTACATCCTAACAGAGAAGAAAGGGTCAGGACAAAATAAAAGTCCCTAAAGACTTGCCCCTAAGGACCTACTTTTACCTAAGTCCTCTTTTATACCTCCTGTTTTTGTTGTTTATTTTAATGTGTATAAGTGCTTGCCTGCTTGTATGTCTGTGTACCACGTGTGTACCTGGTGTCTGCAGAGGCCAGAAGAGGGTGTCTGATCCCTTTGAACTGGAGTTAAGGTGGTTTTAAGCTGACCTGTGTGTGCTGGGAACTGAACTCAGGTTCTCTACAGGAGCAACAGGTGCTCTTACCACGGAGCCATCTCTCCATCCCCCCATTTCCTGGATTTTAAAAGACTTCTGAGTTTCTGTCACCTCTAAAATAGCCTATCAAATCATGAACCTGTCAAGAGTTAATCCTTGTAAGAGGTCAGATACTCTGTGAGGCAGTCAGTTTCCAAAATATCAGGTGACCTCTGGGAAAATTTCAGTTCCAAGCCACAACAGTGAAGTTGTATTAATTTTGTTGCTGTATAGTACTAATGGGAACATTTTGGTTCATGTCTTTTCATGATGTGTATGTATTTCTGATATGTACATGAATTGCTGAATCATAGAGTAGGCATATGTCCAAAAATTTACAAGAAAAATTTTTAATTTTCCAAAGTGAGTCTATAGGGTTTTGGTTGTTATTGTTTTGTTTTTGAGACGGGGGTCTCAATGTGTCACCGTGGTTGCCCTGGGACTTTATATATATCAGGCTGGCCTTGAACTCAGAAATTTGCCTACCTCTGCTTCCCAGCTGCTGGGATTAAAGAAAGGGCCATCATGCCTAGTAGCTGCACCAGTGTAAATGTCATTCATCTTAAAGTTAGATCATTTGAGGATTGTAGCTAGAGTTTTCCTGCCTGGCCCACAGTCAGGACAAATCTCTTGTCACCTGCCAGTCCCACAGCTGCTCAGACCTGACCAAGTAAACACAGAGACTTTTATTGGTTACAAACTGTATGGCCGTAGCAGGCTTCTTGCTAACTGTTCCTACAGCTCAAATTAATCCATCTCTATAAATCTATACCTTGCCACGTGGCTTGTGGCTTACCGGTGTCTTCACACGCTGTTTGTCATCGTGGGGGCTGCCAGTGTCTCTCTGACTCAGCCTTCCACTTCGCGCAGCTTTATTCTCCTCCTTGTCCCGCCTATACTTCCTGCCTAGCCAATGGCCAATCAGTGTTTTATTTATTGACCAATCAGAGCAACACATTTGACATACAGAACATCCCATGGCAGAGGATTATATAACTTCTGATGGAAAATAGTAATGAGTACTTGGTGAGTACTGCAATTTACTTGAGTCTTTGCTTTATGTTTCAGAGACATTTGCCTGACTTCATTGTGGAAAGCTGGAGAAGCTGCAAGATTATTTCTGACATTTGTGTGTTGCATCATCCATTAGTAAGAATATATGTTGAAAGTAAGTGTTGAGATTTTCCTTAAACATTGTATAGATTCCAGCACTTGCACTAATTTTTACCAAAAGGTTATTGAACAGTACAAATACAATTTCGTTCTTCACTTGAGCAAGTCTCATATGTTTGCTCATCCTCTCCCCGCAAGTACTGGGGATTGACTCTAGAGCTACAAACATAGAGTTATGCAAGTGAATGCCCCTGTGACCTACATCCCCAGCCTTTTTTTACAGTTTGAGATACCATCCTTGAACTTGGTCTATCTGACAGGCCTTGAACTTGGTGATCCTCCTGCATCAGACTCCTGAATAGTTAGGATTATGTCCTTATGCTACCCAGCCTGGCATCTTTGCTCTCTGCTTGTGTCTACCTTGTATTCAATTAAAATCGATTTTAGTAGCACAGCCAGAGTGGTGTCCTGTAGACCAGGCTGGACTGGAACTCAACAGAAATCCATTTGCTTCTGCCTCCCAAATGTTGAAGTGAAAGGCCATCATTCATCTGAGTCTTCTCCCTGCCCCTCTCCTGAGGCTTTTTCAAAGCTAATTTTTATTCAAAGTATAAGTAAGGGAGAAAGCAGACTCCTTGCAACAAGAAGGGATCCAGAGCCAGAATCCCTCTCGAATCTTATATCAGTGGTTTATTTACTAATGACCCAGTATCTTCATTTCACTATTAGTGTTTCTTAAACTTGTTTTCTTTTTTCTTTTTCTTTTCTTTTTTTTTTTTTTTAAAGCAGCCAGTTGGTGGTGGTGCATGTCTTTAATCCCAATATTTGGGAGGCAGAGGCTGGTGGATTTCTGATGAGTTTGAAGCCGTCTTGGTCTACAGAGTGTGTTCCAGGGCAGCCAAGACTACATTGAGAAACCCTGTCTCAAAAAAAAAACAAAAAGGACAGAGATGTTTTAGGGGTTAAATGTTCCTAGATAGAATATAGGATACAATGCCACAGAACTTGAGGAAACCAGTTTGTTTAATTTGGATGTCTATATGCTTTTATAATTCTCCCCCTCACCCCACAAGACTTTGTTCTCATCAGTAATTCAGAGACATTTTAAATCCCAGTTTTCCCATATGTTAGCCCTATAAGACATAAGAGAAGCATGCAATCTTAACTGCTTTGCCTGCGTGTGTCTCAGTGTACCTACCATCACCAGCTGTAGAGGCTAGACAAGAGCGTGAGACAGTTGTGAGCCACATGTGGGTGCTGGGAACTGAACTTGGTCCTCTGCAAGAGCAGCAGGTGCTCCTGACTGCTGAGCCTGCTCTCCAGCCCCCCAGCCTACACTTTAATATCAGCATTTCTTTTCACCATTCACAATATTCTGGGCCTATCAGACGTAAAGAAAAACACCCTGCCAAGCAGCATGTTAGTTACTGGTTTTGTGTGGGTGTGTGGAGGCCAGAAGCCAGCCTTGGAGATCACGCCTCAGGAGCTGTAACCTAATTTGTTTTCTTTTTAAAGATTAACTTGCCAAGTTGGTTAGCCTGGCTTGCCCTCGAGTCCCAGGGATTCACCTGTTTCCTCTGCAGTGGAATCACATCCCACTATGCTTATTTTTTTTAGTGTGGTTTCTCAGAAATAAACCTGGGTCCTCATACTTACATGACAAGCACTTCACCAACTGAGCTAGGTCTATCTCCTGATTATTCATTCATTCATTCATTTATTTATTGTTTTGTTTTTGAGGCAGGGTTTCTCCGTGTAGTTTTGGCACCTGTCCTAGATCTCACTCTGTTGACCAGTCTGGCCTCGAACTGAAGAGATCATTGCCATTAACTGAGGTAGTTAAGATTGTCGGAAGACATCTAAATCAGTCATTTATTCTAAAACAATCATTGAACCCATTTTGTGTACTTTCACTGGGTACATTGTTTTCCCAGTAAGATAATTGGAGAGTGTAGAGAAACCGTAGAGGAATTTCCAGTGTAATTATTTTTAGAAATTTATTTATTTTTATTTTATGTGCATTGGTGTTTTACCTGCATGTTTGTGTGTGTTGGACCCACCGCCCCAAGTGCTGGGATTAAAGGCGTGTGCCACCACTGTCCGGCCTTTTTTTATGTAAGTGGGATGACACACTTGATAAAATCCATCACTGTTCCCTCATGCTGCTTTTGCACATTTATTCCTCTATCCCTGGTAAGCCCTCATTCCAGTCCATTGTATCTGTCTCCTGATTATTCAGTATTCAATTATTCAATTCAGCTCAGAAATCCTTACAAAGACCTTTCTCCCTGAATCATAAGTCCTGGCCCTCTAACTTCCAGGGGTTCCTTTAGGCTCTTTGCACAATTGGTTGTCGATTACTCCATCTGAATTTGAAGACATTTCACTTAGATATTTGTTCACACGTGTTGTGCTTTGTTCAAAGTAAATATTTTTTCTTTTGGGTTTTTCAAGACAGGGTTTCTCTTGTGGCCTTGGCTGTCCTAACTCAGTAACATTCATTTTTGTGGGGAAAAAAGTCAATCTTGTTGGAAATTAATACAGGCAGTTTAGTATATTTTATGTAGATATTGCATACTATGCATTAATTAATTTCACACAGGGAAACTGGGGGCCCAATATTCAAGAAAATAAATTATAAATGCTTGCAAGTACTTACTATTAGCCAGGTGATGGCTGGTGACACACGCTTTTAATCCCAACACTTAAAAGGCAGAAGCAGGCAAGTATCTTATAAGTTTGAGACCAGCCTGGTCTACATAGTGAGTTCCAGGGCTGTATCAAGAGACTTTGTCTTGAAAAACAAACAAACAAAAAAGATAAAGAAGTGTTATCAGTTTAAATAAAATCTGTGGTAGTGAGATAGGGGTATTAAGAAAAAAGGCTGAACTCAGTGACTATATCTTACAATCCATCAGAGCCATGCCGTCCTATCTCACAAGGCAGAAGACCCGAAAAACTTTCTCATGGGTTGGCAGGCCATTGCCGGATCGAAAACAGTACTACCAGATCTACAAGTAAGTGATGAAGCTCTTTGGTTGGACTGCAAAAAAAAAAAAAAAAACTTTTCAGGCTAAACTGTTAAGCTTGTATTAAACTGTTCTGCTCAATGCAGATTGAGGTTTGAGGGACAATAGAAATAAACTTTTAAGGAAGTTTTTGTGCGATGCAAAAAGATCTGTTGTGGCTGGTTAGTAAAATTTGAGATGCACCATAATGTCATCTACGTAAGGTGGATTCTTTGAAACATAAAAGATAAAAAGAGATGTTGGTACTGTATCCTTCCCAGCTTGTTTGTGCGTTCACGTGTAGTGTGTGTACATAGGTGTGGGGGCAAGTGTGCATGCTCACTGCAGGCCTGAAGTTGATGTTGAGTGCTTTTTTTATGTAAGTGGGATGACACACTTGATAAAATCCATCACTGTTCCCTCATGCTGCTTTTGCACATTTATCTTTTGCACATGCTGGTGCCCTTTTATCTATAGAAGTATTTTTGTTCTTTAAGAATTTCTTACATACTGTGTGTTTTGAACACTCATCATCCTCTCCCCACTCCTCCCGTCACCACTCCATCTCAGCCCTTTCTACCCAGCTTTGAGATTTCTTCTTCTTTTTTTCTTTACCAAATAAGTGAAGTTTGTGTTGTACAGCTAGTCTTAGGAGTGGGCCTGCACTATAGGGATCACATTATCATTAAAGTCAACTGACTCTTCCTTTCCCAGCAGCTATCAAATGCCAGTAGCTTCTTAGCTACTGGTGGGATTTTTGTGCCCACCTTCTCTCCTTTACGCTAGGATTTTGTCTGGCTGGAGCTTGTAAAAAAGTCTTGTGCATTCTGTCACAATTGCTGGGTTTGTATGTGTGCCTGCCCTGTTGTATCTGAAAAACCTTGATGTGTTATCAGCCACCTTTGGCTCTTAGAATCTTTCTTTCTCCTCTTCCATGAAGATCCCTGCACCTTATGGAGACTTTCTTTTTTATTACTGGTGCAGGTTCTTTTTGCTGAACCCAGAACTCACCAATTCCAGCTAATCCAGCTAGTGAGTTTGCCCTGGGAATTCTGCTTCCCAAATGCTGTGTTCCAGGGGGTTGCCACACCTACCTGGCTTTTTCCAGGAGTGCTGGGAAACTGAGCCCCAGTCCTTGAGCGTGCTCATTCGGCAAATGCTTCATCCCCCAAGCCTTCTCTCCACTCCTTAGCAGTTTTGATATTATTTTTATTATTATTGGGTAGCTTTCTGGCCTCCTGAACCTTTTATTGTTCTTTGCCAATAACTGAAGTAGTTAAGATTGTAGGAAGGCATCTAAATCAGTCATTTATTCTAAAACAATTCATTGAACCCATTTTGTGTACTTTCACTGGACACATTGTTTTCCCAGTAAGATAATTGGAGAGTGTAGAGGAATTTCCAGTGTAATTATTTTTAGAAATTTATTTATTTTTATTTTATGTGCATTGGTGTTTTACCTGCATTTTTGTCTGTGAGTGTGTTGGATCCCCAAAACTGGAGTTACAGACAGTTGTGATCTGCAAGCGGTTGTTGGAAATTAAACCCGGGTCCTCTGGAAGAGCAGCCAGTGCTCGTAACCACTAAGCCATCTCTCCAGCCCTTAAGGATGTTTTTAAGCTTAAACCTCAGTGGTTATGGGCACTGGCTGATATTTCAGAGGACTCGTGTTTGATTTTCTCATTTACTTGGTAACTGGCTTACAACTCTCAGGGGATCCAGTGCCCTCTTCTGGCCTCCTTGGGCACTGCACATACTTGTATTGGCACAGGCAACACCCACACACGGAATATAAATTAAATCTCAAAAGAGATAGTTGGACAAGCATATCCTTTAAAAAAGAATGTTGTCTTTTGTGCCAAGTTCTACAACACTTTTTCCATTTTGATGATCATGTTTCTTTGTTGCTTTCTAGAGAAATGTGTATAAAAATCAATGATTGTTCCCCTGAGATTCGCATCAAGGTTGGACAGTTTGTGTTGATTAAAGGCGATGATAATACAAAACCCTATGTTGCTAAACTGATTGAATTATTTGAAGATGGTGAGTTTGGGCCTGAAATGGGAGCCTTCTCTTACTGGGCACGATTGCAAAGTATGCAAGAGGTGGGAGGCTGCTGAGTTCTCTATTCACAGGCACTTCCAGAGCAGCATGGACTGTGAGGTGGATCACATAAGTATTAGCTGTTCCTTTCCCCATCTAGACTTCATAGACTCAGCAGTGTAGTGTTGGGTAAAATGGAATGAGAGGGCTCAAGAATTTAGCCTTCCCGTTATTTTTTCTCTATTCACAGGCACTTCCAGAGCAGCATGGACTGTGAGGTGGATCACATAAGTATTAGCTGTTCCTTTCCCCATCTAGACTTCATAGACTCAGCAGTGTAGTGTTGGGTAAAATGGAATGAGAGGGCTCAAGAATTTAGCCTTCCCGTTATTTTTAGGGGTAAGAATGAAAGTCAAGTGCAGGATTTGGGGACAGGGAGTTTAGGAAGACGGAAGGAAAATTGGTGATTTGCACTGCTAGGGGTGTTGGTTTTGTTTTGTTTGTTTTATTCTTTTGCTCTTTTCTGTTTGGGGGCCTGCCACCCAGCTCCCCAATAAATACACACACACAGACTTAGTCTTACTTATGAATGCCTAGCCTTAGCTTGGCTTGTTTCTAGAATTATCTGGTCTGCCTTTTGCCTCTGGGCTTTTATCTTTCGCTAGTCTTTCCCCCTTCTACCCCCAAAACAGAGTTTTTCTGTGTAATAGTTCTAGCTGTCCTGGAGCTCTTTGTAGATCAGGCTGGTCTTGAACTCATAGATCTGCCTGACTCTGCCTCCCAACCACTGCCTGGCATATCTTTCTCTATTCTATATCCCTTTCTTTACTTCTTATTCTGTGGCTTGCTGTGTAGCTGGGTGGCTGGCCCCTTATGTCCTCTCTCCTTTTCTTGTTCCCTGATCTTCTCTTCTCAGATTTCTCCTGTTTATTCTCTCTGCCTGCCAGCCCTTCCTATCCTTTCTTCTGCCTTGCTATTGGCCGTTCAGCTTTTTATTAGGCCAATCAGGTGTTTTAGACAGGCACAGTAACACAGCTTTACAGAGTTAAACAAATGCAACATAAAAGAATGCAACACATCTTTGCATCATTAAACAAATATTCCACAGCATAAACGAATGTAACACATCTTAAAATAATAAAGTGTGTATTTGTGAAGTGGAGTCATTTTTCTGCTGATTGGTCCTTTGATCATTGTCAAATTATATAAGATTCTTGAAACTTGGTTTCTTGGCCTATAAAGGGGATAGGTATAGTACCTGTTTTTTAGAATTATGGAGAGTAAATATTTATATTGTGTAGTGTTTGGCATGTAGGCTGTATTCAGTAATGCATTGTATTGTTTCCCTTCCTATTTTATTCTCCCCTTTCCACCTGATCCTCTTAGGATCTACACTTCCTTCCAAGAAATGTGCTCGAGTGCAGTGGTTTGTCCGATTCTCTGAGATCCCTATCTCTAAAAGGCATTTATTAGGCCGGCAGCCTGCAGCACAGGAGATATTCTGGTATGACTATTCTGACTGTGATAACCAAATTTATGTGGAGACCATCATTGGCCCTGTTCAGGTAGGAGTCCCTTAAATCCTGGGTTCTAAAGTACCTATACTGCATGACCTCAGAAATAGTACTGGTTCTAATTTGAATTTTTTTCTCATCTTTTCTGGCTGCTTGAGAAGCAGCCCCCCCATCCCACAGATACTGAGAGCATAGTGAATGTGGTTCTGGGCCTTTTAGAGGAAGTAACATTTGGGTTATGACCTGAAGGAAGAGCAGGAATTATTAGAAAATGTGTCTCAGTGAACAATCATATGTAGCTATGATTATGGCAGGCACAAGACATTATAAAGCTAAGTGTGCTTTGTAAAATGAGGACTTCTTGAATAACTTGGTACAAAGAGTGCCAGTGCTAAAGACAACCTTGTGTTATAGGGTTTTTGTATTCAGGAGCTGTGCTGTTGAAGTAGACAGTGTTTTGAAAACCTTGCGTGCATGCGTGTACATCTTATTTCTAGAGCTGATTTTATATCCAGAGTAGGCTTAGACTCTTCTATGTGACATCTGGCTTTGGGTGATTGGGTAATTGGTTTAACAATTGGCCAAAGAGACTGGTCTGACCTGGCTACAGTAATTTATTTTGTGGTTAAATGAATGAAGGTTGAAGCAGCAGAGCATGTGGGTTTGGAAGGTGTGCTGGTTAGCTTTCATCAACTTGATATAACGAGTCGTTATGAAATACCTCTGACAAGTTGGGCTGTAGGCAAGTCTGTGGGGGCATTTTATTGATTAATGATTGATATGGGAGGGCAGCAAGCCAGTAAACAGCATTCTTCCATGGCCTCTGCTTCAGTTCTTGTCTCCTGTTCCCTCAAGGATGGACTGTGATCAGGACTGTAAACCGTAAAGTGGAGTAAACCTTCTGGAGTTAGTTTTGGTCAGTGTTTTATCCTAGCAACAGAAAGTAACTAGAACAGAAGGGAAGGAGAGAAGAGGTATTAGGAAAATCTCCCTGTTGGGAGTAAGCAGGACTAGTACTAAAGCCAGACTCTGCTAGTGAGAATTGGCCATTTAGGGAACACTGAGTGCTCTGGAAGTGAGGCCTGATCTTAGAAGACGCTGGAAAACAGTTTAAGTCATCTTGCAGCAGTGTGGAGCTACTGCTCACTGTTGAGCGTGTTGAGAAGTTTTGGGGAGTTTGTCCTAGGTGGATAGATTGGGGGCGCAGGGGAGAAGGAATGGGATAATGTGTGATTGAACTGGGATGATAGCAGGAATGAAGAGGAGAAGCCAAGGCAGAGGATGTAGTTCATTTAGTAGACTGCCTGCCTGGTATGCATGAAGCTCTGGATTCAATCACCAGCACCAAATAAAACAGCTGTGGAGATACACATCTGTTACTCATACTCAGGAAGTAGAGTTAGGAGAATCAGAAGTTACAGGAGACCCTGTCCAAAAACAAGTAAGGCAATAAGAGGGGGGTGAAAAGCAGGAATAATTTGCTGGGTATGTTGGCACATATCTTTAATCCCAGCTCACAGGAGAAACCGATGATGGACCAGTCTGCTCTATATATGAGGACAATTGGGACTGCATAGATAGACACTGTTTCAAAATTTAAAAAAAAGAAAGAAAAAGGAATAATTTACATTTCATTGACATCTTCCTCAGACTATTCATGACGTAAAATGCTCAGTTTCTTAGTTAATGTGCTATGCAATGTCTTTCTCTTTAGTTATAAAAGGTGGCATTTCATATAAAGATGTGAGATTAAATAGGTTTCATTGCAGCTATGATGGTTTTTCTTGGCTGTATATAGTCTTCATCTTTTCTTGTTTATCTCACTTCCAAAATTCAGGTAGTGGCTTTAGCCCCAGATGAAGTGATCCCTATGGATCAGAAAAGTGAGGAGACACTGTTTGTGAAGCTATCCTGGAATAAAAAGAAGTTCGAACCACTGTCGCCAGAAGTACTTGCAACATTGAAGAAACAAGAAGATAGCCCCGAGTGCCGCAAACCTTTAGAAGCCAAGATTAAGAGAGTAAAAAGCCCTTCTTGGAACACAACAGAACAAGTGGTCAAAAGGATTGAATCAAGTCACTCTACCTCTAAATCTTGCCAGACGCCTGCTCATCCTGTCTCCCCCAGTGCTAGGAAACTGCTAGAACACAATGGTAAGTGTGGTTGTAAATTAGTTTTACTTCAATGTGCTTTTGCTCCTTTGTAATGCACCAGTCCTTCCTCCCCCAACCCCTGCTGCACAGTGATGTGTTTGCTGTCTCTATGATTGGCTTTTTCTGGGATGTCAGAAGGTTGGAATCACAGTCTGACTTTTTTTGTCTGGTTCTCTTCTCTTAGTTTCATCCATTTGAGAGTCATCCCTGTTATTACCCTATTGGTGATTTATTCCTTTTTATGCAGTGCTGTAGTGTATCAATAAACACAACTTATTTATTCCCAGTTGAAGACATCTGGCTGTTTCTAGTTTTTGATGATTATGAATAAAGCCACCCTAATTAATGATTCACACAGACACTAGATGGCTCTTCAAAAAGCCCTATCTGTACCTGTCTCATACCATGAGTATGACTGAAGTTGGCTCATCTGTACTTTAAGACTATAGGCATTCCTGCTTGCCATCTCCTCAGTTAGATCAGTGTGTCCATGAATGAGTGCCAGGGCTGAGTCTCATTCACCTTCTGTTTTTTGCTAGAACCTAACATATATCTTGCCTTTTTAATAGTTCAGCTATATCTGTCTATGATCCCTGGTTCTCATAGTCTTGTCAAGAGTAAAGCAGATCTATATGTAATGATTGTCTTCAGGAATTCCTCCTGTATCTTTGCTGATATAATCTGGGTGAAAAAAAACAACAAACAGGAAAAACGTTGGGTCTGGTGTCACTCAGTAATGTACTATAAATTTTTTCAAATACGTTGCATTGGGACTGGGTACCCTGCAGTGTTGCCTCGGGGAAAATTGATTACTGAATATTTATCTACAAAAGCTGACCTAGAAGTCAAATTTCTAGATTCTGCAGCTGTAGCTCAGTGGTAGAGCACATGCTTAGTAAGGTCCTGGGTTCAATCCCCAGGGCTGAAATATGAAAACAAACAAAAGTCATGTATGTTTCTAAATAGGAAAATCATACGTGAAGTTTAGGAAAGAAGAGGCGACTTGGCCTAGAAGAGGACAATATGGACTAATTCAAGAAAGTATGAGTAACTTCTGTTGTGTTAACATCAGTTACATCATGAGATTGGGGGTGTGTATTTCTAAGTATAACATCCCACTTTGTCCTTTATGCTTAGGCTTTCCCAGGAAGTCTAACATGAGGCTATCACAGAAGATTTTGTGTGACTCCTTGGATTCTCAAAAAAATTCTAAACGAAAAACAGCCTTCTCTGAAACAACCTCACCGCCTAAAAGATCTCAGCCTGGTGAAATCAAGACCTCTTCACCTTTGAAAACTCTAGGAAAAAATGGACAGACTCATTCCTTTTATGCCAAAGGTAGCATGATTCTGAGAGCCCAAGGTCCAGCTATGATGACCACAAAGATTAGTGTGGAGAGGGCACTCAGGCCTCTCAGGAGCAGGTTGAGTTCTTCAGTGGTGCCTACTGTGATTCTGACACCAGAGTACATTGGGAGGTAAGCAGGAGCATTGCCCCCTCTCAGAGCAACTTGAGATACTTCCTTTGATGAGAAATGAGTGTCGGAGAGGGAAACTTCCGAGCTGTGGTTGTCTGACCAGATCTCTGAGGATCTTTTCCAAATAAAGGTTTCTGAGCTTAGATTTAATAAACTGTGCTCCAAGTCTTGGACCCAGGAATCTGTATTTTGGAGTGCTCTTTTACATTAGGTATGGTGACTTATGCCTGTAATCAGGAGGCTAAAGCAGGACTAGTGTAAGTTCAAGATTATCTTGAAATGCTTTTCTCTTCAGATGTCATTTGGGAATAGTGATAGTTATTTCTGAAACTATACTGCTTCACAGTCCTGGATTTCATTTGTTGGCTCTGACTCTTTGCCACAAAATAATGATCCTTTTTTTTTTTCTTTCTTTCTTTTTTTTTTTTTTCAATTGGGTATTTTTTTGAATCTGGGATCTACTCTTAAATACAGTAAAAGAAGACAATAAATCTAGAGCAAGCTTTGTAGTTTGGTACTTGGTAATATGTATAGATAAAAAGTTGTACCTTAAAAGAGTGACAGAGTAGAAATAACATGATATTCAATATTTCTTAAATAGAAATTCCAGCACCTGGTCCATAATAGGTTGCTTAATAAATAGAGTGTGTGTGTGTGTATACTTTTGTTTGTTTTTTGTTTTTGTGTTTTCAAGACACTGTTTTTCTATGTAGCTTTGCACTTTTGCTGGAACTTACTCTGTAGCCCAGGCTGGCCTCAAACTCACAGAGATCCTCTTGCCTCTGCCTCCCGAGACAGAAATAAAAAGGAGGCAAAATCTGTTGGGAGTTTGTCCATCTTGGTCCACAATAGCAATGTGATAAGTGTGATTTAAATAATATGTTAAGAAAAACTTGGATCTCTTTGGTGAGCTTTTAGCCAAGTTTGATTAACTCTTTCCAAAGTTGCTATAAAAAGAATAGGAGCTGGTGAGAGCTCACTATCTCCAGTACCCACTGTGGATTCTTGGTGTCTTAAATGCCTTCCTCTAATCCAGATGTGACCTGTTACAGGGACACAAAGGAACAAGCAGCTCACAAAGAACCCACACGTAGTTCCCATCGTGTACGTAGAAGGAGTTCTCTCTTGACTTTGAAACGGATTAGGCAACAGATTTGGTAAGACTGCCCATGGACACGCAGAACAACCTTGCTCCCATCTGTGGTAGCATTTGTCCCTTAGTGCCCCTTCTATATGAATGGCCAGTCATTGATACCTTTTCACCTAGCATCTTGTACAAGTGTCATAGTTTGAAAGGGACAAGAAATGCTGGCCTGGCCTTCTGGTTCCTTGGCCCCATCACTCTTGTTTCCAGCAAGTCTGGGAGTATGGGATGCCTGAAAGCATTCACTTATTGATATACCTTAGTTTGAATTTGGGCTTCTGAAGCTTAAGTTGGGAAGGTGAACATTTCCAATCCTACTCCCTCATGAATAAAATAGGGAAGATATACAAGCCTTAAAGTTGTTGAGGGATTTAGTGGATGATATGTAATGCCTTCAGCAGAGTGTCTCAGGCAAGTATCCAAGAGGTGAAACATCCCATATGGCCTGGTGGTGGAAGAGACTAATGCCTCTAATGCTCACTTTTATACAGTTCTTATTAAGGCTTGAACACCAAATAATAGAAAATAATTAGTCTCCACCACTCAGGCTTCTAGATGATAAAAGTGACCAAGAAGAGGAAGAGTTCATATCCTCAACAGAGGTGTCAGACTCCAATAGTGAGGAGGAAGATGATTCTATTCCCTCCCTTCCAAAGAGAAATCCCCAGCGGCAGTCCAGGAACCGGAGGTTGGCCTCAAAGCCATCATTGCAGACCCCCTCCAAGACACCACAGAAAACTGTAAGGTTCTTTTGGGTTTGTTTTCCAGTGACATGTCCCTCCTATATGCTAAAGAATACTAATTCCAAGACCGAACAGTAACAGCTGGATTTTTAGCACAGGGCTATGATGTTAAAGTAGTGTGTTCCCTGGGGAAGCAGGCCTACATGAACTTGACTGCAAACTAATCTAGTTGAAGATGACTTCTTTTCCCTTGTGTTATATTGTTTTGCTTTTGAGACAGTGTATAACTGTATAGCCCAGGCTGGCCCCTGACTCCAAGCTCATGCTACCACATGTGACTTGCTCAAGGGCTCAAGTTCCTTTTAAGGGTCAGAGTCAAATGGCCAAGAGCACAGCCTCCTAAGGGAAGTACAAATGCTGATGAGTCCTAGTGTTTGTGTTTCCCTTGGCACTTAGAGGGGATTGAATTCCAGGCTGCACTAGATGCAGCTGAGAGATCAGGAGTACTGCTTACGTGTGGCAATGATGTGCAACAAGAAAATGGAAGGGAGTTCCTGTGGAATTATAACAGTAGTAAAGGTGTTAGGGTCCTCTCATGCAAAGGTAGGTTTGAGAATCACTAGGATTAAACAGTAGAACTCTGGCATACAGTTAGGAAATGCTTGCTTTAGAAATGGTTCTCTAATTTTCCAGATCAAGATAGAGCTGAGGCTGAAGTCTAAGAACAGGTTCTAAGGAAGGGAGTCTAGTAGATCCCATTTGAAGTAAAGGCCATATTTACTTGGATTTCCTCAAATACACGTGCAAAAAGCTCACTGTTCTGATTGTTCACATCCCCTAGGTTCCACCAGAAAGAAGGGATGTGTGGTCCTGTGAACATAATTAAGAACACTCCTACAGATCCTATGTTTTCTCCCCAGTTAATAGATAAAAGACCTTTTTCAACAGTCAGTCTGCATATTCTTGGCCAAGGAAAAGGTGGAAAGTTGTCTATCACTCCATACCAGGAAGAGAAGTGAGTGAGAGAAAGCATTGGTCTGCCCCATAGAGTAACTGTCAAGAAAGAGTAAGCCTCTGGGGCTGGAGTGATGGCTTAGTAGTTAAGAGCATTTGCTCTTCCAATGGATCTGAATTGGATTCCCAGCACTCACATGGCAACTCATGACTGCCTAATTACATTATAGGCAAACCGAATGTCCTCTTCTGGCCTCTTTGAGCATCAGACGTGCACATCATGTGCAGACATACATGCATACAGAACACTCATGCACATGAAATAAAGTTTAAAGAAAAAAAGAAGAATGGCCCTGTGAGTGGGGGCAGAGACCCAGGGATTTAGAATAAAAAAACTTGTGGTCAGGTCCCACCCCCAAGTACTAGATTATGGGTTGAGGAATTCCTGAGTCAAAGCTTGACCATATTTTCAAATAAAGATCTCAGGAATTACATACAACCTATGGTTCTTCTTCTTGAGCAGAGTAGCTTCAGTTTCCTAATAATTTTTTTAGTTTTTGAAATACTTAATGAAAGGCCAGAGATACAGCTCAGTGGCAGAGCACCTGCATAATATGTATGAAGCCCTGGGATTTTTGTTTGTTTTTGAGACTTGGCCTGTATCTGTCTCCCAGGTGCTCGGATTGACATGTGCCACCATGCCTGGCTGAATTTATTTATTTACTTACTTACTTTTTTCTCAGATTAACTGTATTCAAATCCCAATCCCATGTTTGGGATCATGTTTGGACCATGAACAAAATGTTTGATGTGAGGGGGTGGGATGATCATCCTTTCACCAGTTCAATTTTCTGTGTCCTGGATGGTTGTTTGTTTTGTTTTATTACAACTTATATTCTCTTTGACTATAGCCTAATCCTCGAACATCTCATCACGCCACTCCTCAGATTCGAGGAAGGAACCTCGCTGTCCAGGAACCGGCTAGCGTGCTTGAAGAGGCTCGGCTGAGGTGATGCTGCTCATAGTCCTGCTTGGGTAGATAGGAGTGATAGGGCCTCTTTCTTCACATGAATTGGAGGTTGGTTGGGCCAGTACTGTGCAGTCAGTGATACATACTGGTGGAAGACAGTAAAACAAGTACTTACAGAAGCCTTCAACAGCCAATGCCTGGGCTAATGCACATGGAAGGAGATGCCTCCCAGGCTGCTGCTGTCATCTTGGTGTTTCTGAGGGTGGTGCCTCTTAGCTACAGGGTCCTAAAGTAGGAATTCTTTTAAAATGCAGGATCAGATTAAGGTTTTTGGAAACTAATAGGTTTCAGTCTACCCAAGTGGTTTTGTTTTGTTGGAGAAAAGGGAGGTTAGGTGAGGCAACATGGAGAGAGATGAGAAGTAAGAATTTCCTTTTATTCATAATAGTTCCTGTATAGAAATAATAGTGCCTTTTCCATTCTGTTGGGTAGATGGTGAAGACTTCTAAAGCCTTCCTTTTCTTCTGTCTACCACCAACTGCAGGCTGCATGTTTCTGCTGTACCTGACTCTCTTCCCTGTCGAGAACAGGAATTCCAAGACGTCTACAACTTTGTGGAAAGCAAACTTCTTGATGGGACTGGAGGGTGAGTAATGTGGAGTAGACAGGTAGTTTGAGGAAGAGTTGCTCATACAGGGTCAACAGGGTAAGCAGAACCTCTGCTAAGCCTAGAAGAGTGGATTTCTGCCTTTCAGAACTAATGAGACCGCTGGGGCTGCTCAGTTGATCAAAGGCACTGGGTTTGGTCCCCGGTACTAGATAAACTGGACATGGTGGTGAGGTAGAGGCAGGAGGACCAGGAGTTCAAGGTCATCTTTGGCTACATAGTGAGTTTGAAGCTAGCTTGAGCTATGTGAGGTTTGTCTCAATTTAAAAAGGAGCGGGTGACCTTTGAGTAATCAGTTTGCGTGCATTTGCTTTGACTGTAGAATAAATGTCTAAACAGGTCCAACTCTGACCAGTTTCCTAGGGTAGTCTTCACAGTTCCTACTTTCTTTCTTTTTTTTTTTTTTTTTAAAGATTTATTTATTTAGTATACAATGTTCTGCCTGCATGTCTGTCTGTCTGCAGGCCAGAAGAGGGCACCAGATCTCATTACAGATGGTTGTGAGCCACCATGTGGTTGCTGGGAATTGAACTCAGGACCTCTGGAAGAGCAGTCACTGCTCTTAACCTCTGAGCCATCTCTCCAGCCCCAGTTCCTACTTTCGTATCCCAGGGGTCTTGGCCTTTCTTAGTATGATGTGGATGGCATGGCCCCAGGCTGAGAGTATTATTTTCTTGCTCTAGGTGTATGTACATTTCTGGGGTTCCTGGGACAGGGAAGACGGCCACCGTACACGAGGTCATACGCTGTCTGCAGCAGGCAGCCCAAACAAATGATGTTCCTCCCTTTGAATATGTTGAGGTCAATGGCATGAAGCTGACAGAGCCTCACCAAGTCTATGTGCAGATTTTACAGGTAGGCTAAGTTGTTGGGGGTTTCTGGGAAACAGTTCTTTAGAAGCACAGGGAGAAAGAAGGCTTACTTCATTTTATTTTCATTTTACACATTTATGCAGAGGTGACAAGGGTGAGAGGCAGAATTTCTTAGACTCAAAAACCATGCTAGGAGCTGTATGTTGACTGATTACATGGCAGCAGCCTAGCTCACGAATGACGTGGGAGTGTCCTGGAATAGGGTCTAAGCATTGTTCTTTCATTAGCTGTTACCCTGGAACAGGTAATATCCCTCTTGGGGAAGGGACTAGAGTAGAGGAAACGGAGCTTCTTCCTTTTATAGGCGGCACTCACTTTAAGGTCAGTGGAGTGGAATCATCAGCATTTACTACAGCAGCTGCTTTCCCCCCATGCAGAAGCTGACGGGCCAGAAGGCAACAGCTAACCATGCAGCAGAACTGCTGGCAAAGCGATTCTGCAGCCCAGGATGCTCGCAGGAAACCACGGTGCTGCTTGTGGATGAGGTAAGAAGCCCTGGAGGACAAGAGAAGGGGTGGCCACACATCTTTGCTGTCCCTGGAGCAGATGGTGGGTAGGCAGAAGTGCTGCTTCCTGCACCTACTTGACCTACCAAGCTTGTCCATTGATTGGAGGATGGAATGTGGGCAGTACATGCACTAACTCAGTGGAGTCGGCTGTCACTTAGGTGCCCTGGCTTAGTCTCTGAGTGACACTGTATGTATGTCTCCTTCTTGGGCAGCTCGACCTTCTTTGGACTCACAAACAAGATGTCATGTACAACCTCTTTGATTGGCCTACTCACAAGGGAGCCCGGCTGGTGGTCCTGGCCATTGCCAACACCATGGACCTGCCAGAGAGGATCATGATGAACCGCGTGTCTAGCCGACTGGTAAGACCAGGTCTTTCTGTAAAAATGAAAATATAGAAGACCAGGAAATATGATTTCTGCCATAATTGTAATTTTTATGATGGAATGAAAAAATACTACCATTTTCTACAAGTACCATACCCCATACCTTGGCATTCTGGTCCCTATGCAATTTTAAGTCACACAAAGCCATAGAGATTTAATTATTTTAAAAATATCTAAGCATGTATCACTTGCCACCTCTTTGGTACTTGGAGTAAAGCAGACAACCAGGCAGTCTCTGTCTGCCTTCTGGGGCCTTCTATTTTGGCAGGAAACGCCGCCATCAAACCGTGAAGAACATGGTGAGGGAAGGCAGGAGCTGTGCCGGGCCTTAGAGCACCTCTGTCTCCTTGAATGAGTCTAAGAGAATACAAGGTTCTCAGATAAAACAACATAGTTTGAGAACTAGTGTCCTGCAGGACGCCCCAGTCATTGCCAGTACCAGCAGCAACTGAACGGAGAAATGGGAAGAAATAAATAGATTGTTATGTGCGGCTTGAGAACTGGGCTTGGGGACCTGAGTGTTGGGGTTTTGTTTTGTTTTTTGTTTTTTTTCCCCACCCGGACAATGAAACTTGTTCTTCTCTCATCTTGGCTCTCCAGGGTCTCACCAGGATGTCCTTCCAGCCCTACTCTCACAGCCAACTGAAACAGATCCTAGTGTCCCGACTCAAGCATTTAAAGGCCTTTGAGGATGATGCCATCCAGTTGGTAGCCAGAAAGGTAAGTCACCATCAGGAAGCTCCTTGCCACAACTCCGAGCTAGTCAGTAAGTCCTTACTGAGCACCTATGTGTCCTGTGCTATGTACCCTGAATGAAGAGAACTTCAGGAAGTACTATAAAATAAATACCAAGGGCTGAGGGTGGCAGTACCTTATTATATGATTCTTGAGAAGGCCACAGGGATTATGGACTTAGGTACAAACTAACCATAATTGATTCAAGGAACGAGCTGTTTTGTGTAATTGAAGACACCATTTAGATCCATGCCAGGCATCTAGGAAGGACCAAAACCCTGAAATAATGAGGTGGACACTAAGTAAGGTCAACCCTTAGAGACTGGTCAGAGTTAGACCTGTGTATATGGAATCATCGATTCTGCAGACAAGGCTGTATGCAGGCTCTTCTCACCACAGTTGTCCCAGTCCTCAGAAGAGCCCTGAGGCTCCAGGTGGAACTGCTTTGGGGATTTTCTTGTTCTCAGTGTTTTCTTTCATTGTCTTTAGGCCTCAGCCCAAGCTCTTAAATTTACACTGTTCACCACTAGGGTGCTGTTTCACAGGGTGAGGATGGTGATAGGAAGTAGGAAGTAGTGTGGAAATATTTGGATGCAGGAGGCTAGTGAAAGGGAAACCATGATACTCATGTCTCTGTTTTGTATTAGAAGAGTGACTTTGGTCTATTCAAAACATGAACAATTGTGTATAATCCCACTGTACAGAGAGGACTGCTGTGTTTGCCTTTTGACAGTCTCAGGTACCTCTGGCTGGCTTAGTATGCTGTATAGATTAGGCTTGTCTCAAACTCAAGAGATCTGCCTGCCTGCTGGGATTAAAAGCAGGCACCACGACGCCTGGCTAAGATGACTACTTTAATGTCTTACTGTCTTATATACATATACTTACACAGTTTTCTCAGTTTATGTGCCATAATTTTGGAGGAATGGATCATTTTAGAGAGAATTGGGTGTTGTCCAATGACAGGTGAATTTCAGGTTGCAGTGAGTCCTGTGTAAGAACTGAGAAAAAGGTCTTTGTAGCCTGCAGGGATGGTGCGAATTAGAATGCAAATGATCTGGGTGGGTGAGGTCTGTAGCCTGCAGGAATGGTGAGAATTAGAATGCAAACAATCTGGGTAGGTGAGGTCTTTGTAGCCTGCAGGGATGGTGAGAGTTAGAATGATCTGGGTAGGTATGGCAGTGTTTTCCTATAAGCACTTGGGAAGGTGAGGCAGGATGATTGCAAGGTCAAGGCCAACCTGGGCTACATTGGGATATCCTGTCAAAACTAACAAGTAGGTAACAAAACATTCAAGTGTTTTTCTAAGCCAGCGCCAGAGAGAGTGGAGGGTTCTTTGAGAGTCAGGCCTGGGAACTATCAACTTCTAAGTACATGGAAAGCAATGAGGGCGCTAGAGCTGTTGGCACTGTGCAGTGGCCTGATTGGCCTGTCTCAGCACAGGGTTCCCCCAGCTGAGGTCTTCCTTCCCTCCCCCATCTTGATTTTAATTCTTTTAGGCATTGATTGGGCTGTTCTCCCAAGCTGGCTACATAGTCTGGGAGGTCTTACCTCCAAATGTTCTCTCTGGCTTTAAGTGGCTGCTTCTGGGACACACAGAATGAGAACCCAGGAATGAGAACTCTTGTGAGGTTTTTGTTGTATTTTGTTTTTCGAGAGAGGGTCTCCAGGGTCTTCCTGGCTATCCTGGAACTCGCTCTGTAGACCAGCCTGGCCTTCTGTACAACCATTCCCAGCTACCACAGAGGTCTAGGTACCCTAGAACCTGGAGTTATGGGTATTTGTGAACTACCATGTGTTCACCAACAAGTAATCTTAACCAATAATCATCTTTTCTAGCCCTTCCTTAAAAACAAAGAACAACACCAACAACAAACCTCACTTATTTCCTGAATACTAAAACTGGGGATTTCTGCCCTTTCCACTGGAGTTATTTATAATATCATGGGACAGTGGTTTGGTATGGAGTAATAGTGTTCCATATATGATATAAGGTTCCCTGGCTGTCAACTTTGGCACAAGACCATTCCCAGAACTGCCTTATCATTTAGCTAGGCCTAGATCCCATGGTTATTCACCTAGGTTCAGATGGCAAGTGGACATTAGAAATAAAGTGTTCCCTCTTGTAGGTAGCAGCCCTCTCCGGAGATGCCCGGCGCTGCCTAGACATCTGCAGGCGTGCCACCGAGATCTGCGAGCTTTCGCATCAGCATGGTGACTCTCAGGGCATGGTGACTGTGACACACTTAATGGAGGCTATAGATGAAATGTTCTCCTCATCCTACATCACCGCCATCAAGTAAGATGCTCTGCTGCCCGCACCTCTGGGGGAGGGAGGAGAGATCACAGCTTGGGCTTTGGAAATGTGCTCCTGTTTCTCAGAGTTAACTCAGTCTATCCACATTTAGCGAGAGAAAGTCCTTAGGAGCAATCAGGAAGGCAAAAACAAAACCCTTGGGTAACAGATGAGTGCTTATTAACGTTTATTAAGTATAAATACTACAGGAACAGGCTCTGTGGGGTTGTTCATACCTCTCATCCCAGCATTTTAGGATTGCCGTAAGTTTAAAACTAGCCTGGGCTGCATAATGAGTTCTAGGCTAGTCTGGGCCATACAGTGTCTCTGTCTCAAAAAAGAAAGAAACACATTTGATAGGTAGAAAGATGAGTCAGTGGTTAAAAGCACTTGCTGCTCTTACAGCTCAAAACTGACTGTAACTTCAGTTCTCGGGATCTGACACTCTCTTCTGCTCTCTGCATGTGCATGCACATACACACACAACCCTTTTTATTTGTTTGTTTGTGTAAGTTATATGAACATGAATAGTCTGGGCAGCAGTGACATGTGCCTTTAATCCCAGCACTTGGGAGGCAGAGGCAGGCAGATCTCTGAGTTTGAGACCAGCTAGGGCTACATAGAGAAATCCTGTCTCACAAAACAAAACAAAACAAGTTACATGAGCAGGAAGTAGCTGTATTTCTTACTGAAGCATACTCTACTTCCAAAATTTGGAAATGGGGCTTTTTTGGCTGGTTGGTTCGTCATTCATTCATTCATTCATTCATTCATTCATTTATTATTTGAGGTGTAGGTACAATTCCACAAGTAGTTGCTGTGTTCCCCATTTCCATAAGAACATTTTCTATGTCAGCTTAGACTTCGTCAGGTGATGCAGAAAATGTTTTCTCATGTTTTCTCACCTTGAATCCAATGGTGCAGACAGCCTCTTAGAATTCACATCTCTTGGTTTCGTTTAAGGAACTGTTCCCTCCTGGAACAGGGCTTCCTGAGAGCCATTATTGCAGAATTCCGTCGATCTGGACTAGAGGAAGCAACATTTCAACAGGTAATTGTTTGAGAACTGGTTTTTGTTGTGGTTTTTGCTTGTTCTTCTGATCCTTCTAGATATTGGTCCAGGGCACACAAGAGTTATTGGGAGGGGAAACCCCAAGAGGGTGACTGTCCCTACTGGGGTTAGAAGCAGCAGAGAACTGGGCAGAAGAACATGGGGTTAGATTGAGTTGCGGGGAGAGCTTTCTGGGGTAGCCTGGGATTGGAGAAATTAATGTGGCCTGATCTTGTGGCAAGCTTGGGGATTGGGATTCTTTCTTTTTCTTTCTCTCTCTCCCTCCCTCCCTTTTTTTCTTTTCTTTGCTTTCTTCCCTTCCCTTTCCCTTCTCCCCTCCCCTTCCCTTCTTTTTTTTTCCCTGTAGGGCAGGACCTGGCCACTCTCTAGCCTGCTGGTTAGGTCCATTAGGGAAGTCTGGGGCTGGGCCAAGCCAATAGAGATGGGGGAGGTGTGACCACAAAACAAACAAAACCCAGAAGGGACTTTTGTCGGTTCTATATTCCAAATATTGCTCAGTTGTGGGCAATACATCTTCTAAGTAAAACTGAAGCTTTGCTTTAAAACATAAATTAGGCACATGGTGACTCATACCTGTAATCTCAGCACTTGAAGATGAGGCAGGAGGATTGCCAACAGTTTGAGGCTAGATTGAACTACATTGTGAGTTCTAAACCAGCTTGAGCTACAAACTAAGACCTTGCCCCTAAAAAAGACTAGGAAAGAAAGAAAAAAAAGTAACTTGCCCAGTGTCACATACGTAAATTATAGAAAAGCAGAGCAGATGTGCTGTGTCCTGTTCTGTAGCTGGTTTTCTACTCTTGGCAGTTGCGTGAGGGCATCTACTGACGAAGCATTTGGTATCTAAGGTACCATGTGTCTGGTTTATTGTTTAGAGACTAGGTCTTATTATGTAACCTTGGGTGTCCTGGAACTCACAAAGATTTGCCTGCCTCTGCCTCCCAAGTGCTTGGACTAAAGATGAGACCACCCACCCTGCCCCAGGCACCCAGTTTTTGGAAAAGATGAATGATCAGATACAAACGCAGGAGTGTTCCTCGTGACCTTTGCTTTTCTTTTGATGTCTAGATATACAGTCAGCATGTGGCTCTGTGCAGGATGGAGGGACTGCCTTACCCTACCATGTCAGAGACCATGGCTGTGTGCTCACGCCTGGGTGCTTGCCGCCTCCTCCTGGTGGAGCCCAGCAGGAATGACCTACTCCTTCGAGTGAGGCTCAATGTGAGCCAGGATGATGTGCTGTATGCTCTGAAAGAAGAGTGAAGGGCTCCACAGAAAATGCCTTATTTATTTTTCTTCAGAACATGGAATCATAGCAAAATATATGGAATGGAAATGGTTGTTTAGACTTTGTCATTTTATGTTATTTAGTTTGCTTTCTCCAGAGTGAGTTTATGGTAACATACTATGTATTTAAAGATATATTTATATATATATATATATATATATATATATATATATATATATATATATACAGTATACTTGTATCTATCTGGGAGAATTTATATGAAATTGGCTACACTGGTTGCCTCTGGGAAATACCTGGTGGTTTGTCAGGGGTGAGAGGAAGACTTTAGTCTATGTATGCCATGATGTATTTGATTGTGAATGATGTAAAGTAAAATTGATTTTATAGAAAAGACCTGGTAGGGCTTTGTGTGCATCACAGTGACAGTGCTCCCTGTATGCAGGAGGCCCTGGGCCATTTCCCACTGCTGAATGCAAACCAGGTGCCTTGTGCCCTGCATGATGGTGCATACCTGAAATCCCAGAATCTGGGAGACTGAAGCAGGAGGATTACTACAGGTTTGATGCTAGCCTGGACTACATAGTAAATTCAAGACCAGCCTGAAAAAAAACAAGTAAGAATTGCTAGAAATAATAGGTATAAAGTTTTAAAAGGTATCCCTCCCAGAGCTAGAAAGATGCCTGAGTGGTTAAGGGGACTTGCTCTTGCAGAGAATCCAGATTCAGCTCCCAGCATCCAATGGCAGCTTACAACCATCCATAACTCCGGTTATAGGGTATCTGAAACCTTCCTCTTGTCTTCCAAGGCACCAAGCGTGCACATGGTACATATACATGTGTACATGCAGGCAAACACTCAAATCTTTAAAACGAAATTTTGTCCGCATCAATGTGTATATACCACCTGTGTGCCATCAGGAGAGGCCATCTGAAACTAATTACAGATGGTTGTGAGCAGCCACGTGGGTGCTGGGAACCAAATCTGTGTCCTCTGCTGAGCCACCTCCCCAACCACTATCAGATTATTTTTTTAATTTCCATGACTAACTAAAAAGAGGACTAAAGACGTCATTTACAGAAGAAAAATGAATGACTAACAAAATGAAGCAGTTTGAAATGGATCAGAGACATGACTCCAAAAGCTAAAATGGGAGCTCTTTCAGAGGATCTGAACTGCGTTTCTAAACTAAAGTCAGACAGCTTACAACTCTAGCTCCAGAGGATTTGACACTCGCCTGTCTTCCATGGATATCTGCATGCACATTTACAGACAAACAATACATTTGACAGCTCAGTGGTGAAGAGCATACACTGCTCTAACAGAGAATCTGAATTCCTCTTGAACCTGTTACCTGGCAGCTCACAGCTGCCTATATCTCCAGCTCCAGGGTATCTGACACCCTCTTCTCGACTCTGAGGGCATGTGCACTTGTGTGCACGTGCCTACACACAGATCCACACAAATACATTAATCAAAACATTTTTGAATTTTTAAAATCTTTAAAAATCTGGAACTTGACTAGGGAGAGGGTTCAGTGGGTGCAGTGTTCACTAGCATGAGCATGAGAACCTCACCAACACACAACAGAAGCTGGGCACAGTGGAAAGCATATGTAACTCCAGCATTGGGGGTTAGGAGACAGGTGAATCCTTGAAGACTTGGTGACCAGCTGAAACTGCTCTGGGGTCACTGAGAGTCCCTGTCTCAAAAAATAAGGAGGAAAGCAATAGAGGAAGACACCAATATGACCCTTTTGACTTCCAGTTTGCATGTATGTGTTCAGCTTATGCACAGACACGTAGGCAAGTGCACCTGAATGCACATACCTGGTAGGCAAGAAATTCTCCATAAGAAATAGCCCCAACGAGTAGCAAATGGGACTACATGAAATTAAAAAGATTTTGCACAGCAAAGTGCAAACAGCCTATAGGGTGGAAAAGAAATCTTTACCAGTTACACTTCAGTGCCTAAAATATACAAAAGGCTACAAAGATTAAAACACTATCATGGTGGTACATGTCTTTAATTCCAGCACTTCAGAGGCAGAGGCAGGGGGATTTCTGTGAGTTTGGCTAGTTTGAGCTTCATGGCGCCTGCCAGGGCTGCATGGTGTCTCCAAATTAAAACACAACAAAAACATCTGGCTCTCTTCTCAAAGGGAATAATTAAAAAATTGTTTTGGAGCCAAATATGAGTGGCGATGGCCCAAGAACACAGATTTAGGGTGTTCGAAATACCACATTCAAACACAGTCGCAGTTTTATGGAGTTTTTATAGAAACACAAGGAAAGTAAAAAAATCAGGGTATTTTTCTTTTTTTTTTTTCTTCCTCTCCAGCTCCTGTTTTTGTTTCCTATTTTTATTTCTCTGTATGTCTGTGTGAGTACATGCTACATGTGTGTAGTGCCCTCGGAGGCCAGAGAAAGTATCAGACCCCCCTAGAGCTGGAATCACAGACAATTGTGAAACCTTTTATGTGGGTGCTAGGAAATGAACTCGGGTCCTCTGAAAGAGAAGCAAGTTTTTTTAACCACTGAACCCATTTCTCCAGTTCCAAAGAAAATTTTCAAATACCTCTGATGTTACCTGATGGTATTCTTAGTTTTTGGCTTTGAAGCTAGAGATGCATTCACACATTCCAAAAGGATTTAACTGATAATAGTGGACAATATAAATGGCTAATTAGGCACCTAAGGTAGGCCAAGATAATTTGACGCCAGACCTGCAACATTTCACCTCTCCATAGTAATTGAAATTATAGTTACTAATCTGCTTTCTAGAATCTTAAATGTAGGTACAACTCTTTTTGGTAGCCTCCTTTAACAGAAGTTTCTAAAATAACTATAATAGAACTGCCACATGACCCAACTCCTGGGTATACATACAAATAACTATGTCCTATCATATAAATACTTACACATGAATCATGTCTATTGTTGTTCTATTCACAATAGCAAGGAAATGTGATTGGCCTAGATGTCCATCAATGGATGCAATGTGATGCCTATATGTACACAAGGGAATTTCACTCACCTGTAAAGAAAAATGAAATTAGGAAATTAGTAGGAAAATGGATCTATAAAATATATTAGGTAAAGTGATAACACTACATGTTGTGTCGTGTGGATGCCAGCTTTTTAATATATTACATAGTAAAACTGTTATCTCACAACAACCCCCAAAAAACTCCCACACAAACAACTGACAGCAAAACAACCCATTATTGGGGAGGTGGCTCATTGAGTAGGAGAGTGGCTCTATAAGCATAAGGACAAGAGTCTAATCCTCAGAACTACTTAAAAGCTGGGCCTGTGGGGTCTGAGGAGATGGCTCGGTTAAAGACACTTGACAGCTCTCACAGAGGACCCAGGTTCAATTCCCAGAACCCACAGGGCAGCTCAACCATTTTTAACTCTGGTTCCAGGGTATCTAATGCCTTCTGGCCTCCATGGGCACTGCCCATATGTGGTACACTTACATAAATGCAGCAGAACACTCATACACATTTAAAAAAAAAATCTGGGCATGATTGCATGAGTTTGTAATCCCAGCACTGTGGGGTGAGGGATCCTAGAAGCTCACTAATCAGCAAGCCTAGCTGAAACAGCTTCCAGTTCAGTGAGAGACCTTGTCTCAAGGAAATACGGTGAAGAATGGAAAGCTGTAGAGGAAGATAGGGGGTGCTTCATGAGCATGTGATAGCCACCATATATATACAACACACACAACTCCAAATGCACTTTTCTATCACCTGAACAGGACAATAGCCTATACTACGTGTAGAGGCCTAAGAAAACAGTGTTAAGTTTATCTTTACATGTAAGTTGGCACAAAGGTGATTCTTTGCAATTATCTACTTACATTAGTTGAGAAGTTTTCGTCTACACTGGTCCCTCTGGCCATTACCAACTCTTATCCCTCCATGCTTTGTTATACACTATCTTCTGCATTATATTGAGAGTCTCATCTGAGTTCATTACGTGGTGAATACAAGGATGTAGGAGCCTGGGGTGGGCCAGAGTGAGATTCCTGAAAGAGGATTGAAAAGGAAGTATTGCAGTGGCCATGTCTTGTGTTAATTTACATACACAGGCAGGTGTCACTAGGGCTGGGAGGTAGCTTGCCTAACATGAATAAATCTCTGGGTTCTATCCCTAAAACCTCACAAGTCCCATAGGTGTAATGCTTGCACCGGGGAGGTGTAGACAGGGTCACAAGTTCAAGGTCATCCATGACTACAAATCAAACTGAAGCCCGGAATGGACTCCATGAGACTGTTTCCAAACAAACCTGTAGGAATGAACAAACATGTGTCATGCTCTGCTTTGGAAGCTAGTGATGTCAAAACGGGGCAGCAAAAATGTCTGCCTTTGTGGATGAAACTGAAATGATATTTTTGTTTTTTGTTTGTTTCATTTTGTTTTGTTTTTCGAGACAGGGTTTCTGTGTAGCCCTGGCTGTCCTGGAACTCACTATGTAGACCTGACTGGCCTGGAACTCACAGTGATCTCCTGCCTCTGCCTCCTGAGCGCTTGGATTAAAGGTATGCGCCACCACCGCCCAGCAGTAAATGTGAAATGTTGTACTAGTGAGAATTCTAATGGGTCTTAATAAAGTCAGATATCAGGGTGAAAGCTGAGAGATCAGAGAAGCAGCACAGCCAGCCACTAGAAAAACTTTTTCTTAAGATTTATTTATTATGTATACAGTATTCTGTCTTCATGTATGCCTGCAGGCCAGAAGACGGTACCAGAGCCACGATGTAGTTGCTGGGAATTCAACTCAGGACCCTTGAAGAGGAGCCAATGCTCTTAACCTCTAGAAATCCTTAGACTGAAAAGGCCTAGCTCCTGTCTCTGCCTTATCACTTCCTCTCTCTCTCTGCCCAGCCATATCACTTCCTGTTTCCTCCTCCCAAGTGCTGGGATTAAAGGTGAGTGTCACCACTGCCTGGCCTCTAGTGGCTAGCTCCGCACTCTGATCTCCAGACAAGCTTTATTTGTTAAAGCACAAACAAAACATCACCACAGTTGTGTGTCTTTGTATATACCTTAAACATTTTATTATAAAAAATGTTAAAATAACTTTAAGAGGATTAGCGCGTGTACCACCACGTGGCTATAGAACTGTTCCTTCAATCAGAACAGAAGCCTGCCTTTTCTCCATGAAGTGAGGGCTGCACATGTGGTGTGGGGATCTCGGGGTTTCATAGGACAGAAAAAAAAGGGGACTTTGGGCATGGAATGGTCCATCCGCATGCAGGTCAGTTCCATCAATCCCGATCTAGCAGGGCTCCTTATGAGTCAGAGGCGGCCCTTCAGTTTGCAGCGATCCTCCTGCCTCAGTTTACAGAGTGCTTTGGCTCCCCTAATCTGAAGTTTCGTACCGCCCTCTGGCTGCAAAGGAGCCCCATTTCCGGAGACTCCGGTTTTCAGCGCCTGGGGTGGGCTGCGAGGAAGCCCCATCCTCTGGCCATCCTCCAGAACCCAACCTAGGGACGCGGCCCGGCTGGGAGGCGTGTGAGCCTCCGAGCGCGCGGAGAGAACGAGGCAGGAGGCCTGGAGGAGAAACCACGCCAGGGAGGGACGCGCCTCCAGCGCCTGGGAGAGGAGCACAGGACGCCGAACCCCTCACCGCCGCTGTCAGCCAAAGTCTCGCGTTACCTGCTCGGCGATGCCTGCGCACTGCCAGCCCCGCCCCCCAGCGTCACCTGTCTGCGCGCCCCGCCCGCTTTCCCCGCGCACATGCGCACTGCGCGTCGCTGGCTGTGGGGTCACGTGCCGGGCGCGAGCCTCCGCCTCCGGGGCGGGTGCTTCCTGTGGCAGTCTCCGCCGCCGCCGCCCGGGGGCCGCGGGAAGCCTGGCGGTTCCGGGCTGTGGGAGGCCCGGTTTTGGTTCGGATCCGCCGCGAGGTATGCCACGTGCCCGCCTCCCGGCGTGTGGAGTCTGGGGGACGGCGGGGGTGATGGAGGTAGCTTGAGCCGGGCCGGGCCGGGCCTGGCAGTGGGAGGACGCGCGGGTGTTGGGGAGCCCGGCGTCGCCCCTCGACGCGGACGTGCCTCTCCTGAGCCCCGACCGAGGTTCCCCGGGCACCGGAGTGCCTGTGGAGCGCCTCACCCTCCCGAGCGCCTTCACTCCCGCATCCCGCCCCGGCTGACACTCCGCCGTTTTTACCCCAGTCGAAATCTGACACTTGGAGTGTCGAGCGCTTGGGCGCTCACACCCAGGGAAGCTCGCAGCCCTGTTGACACCAGCTCCAGACGTGGGACCCCGTCTGTGTCTCAGTCCCCAAGCCATCCCACGCTCCTTCATAGACTTGGAAGATGCTCAAGGCCAAGGTTTCCCGCCCTATGTGATCTCCAACTTCCCCGTGCACCTTTTGCAGCCCATGATACTTCCCACTGCTGTCAGGATAACGCCCAAATACCTTTAGAACCTTAAAGGTGTTTCTGTTTCGCCCCTAGTTCATGTCTCCATTCTAGTCTCACGGTTTGGTTTATGCCTCAGTGATCCCGGGCCTTCCTTTTCCTTGTGTAGGCCAAGCCATTTCTCACCTTAGAACTGATGTCAGTTTGTTTGATTTGCTTGGGATTCTGCTCTTCCCCAGTCTCCAAACTTTATGACTCAGCACAGGCATCATCCTTAATAAGATGCCTTTTTTTGATGTCCTAGATAAGGGGCTACCTCTGGCATCCATGGCCTGCGATGGTTGTCTGCCCATGGGTCTGTTTCCTTGAAGACTGGGATGGGAGCAGACGAGTTTCTGCACTTCCAGTGCCGGGTGGGTTGTGCCACAGTACCCGTTGATCACTTGTGACATCTTTCAGAGGATCTGAATGCTGAGTCAGGTGCACAGTGTCCAAGGGAACTGATGATAAAAGCGCTACTGAGCACTTGGACCTAGCGTTGCTTCGGTGACTCTGTCTTCCATGTCCATCAGACAGTTCAGTAACAGTTGTGTACAGACTCTCCATATCGCTCTGTGGACAGTGGTACCCAGCCTTTCATCCACTGCCTTCTCTTGCCTCTGTGCTTTAATTACAAAGTGGCGTTTTACCACTGGGACCCCTGTTGGGTCATATCTCATCATCTACTCCAGTCTAAGTCTCTTCAACTTTACACCCAATAGGTATCTAGCCTGCCAAGATGCCAGGGCCAAGACCTCGGAAGGGCCCTAAGACCAGAGGCCAGGGTGCCGAAACTGCAAAGCAGGTATGGACCTGGCCTCCTTCCCCCATGGGTCACCTTGGGGTAGGGATCTCTCGTCACCTGTGTGGTGTTCTTGTTGGTTCATAGAGGATGGGCAGTGCCTGTAGGGGTAAAGTCCTTCGAGTTCAGTGACCATCGCCTGACATCTTTTGGGTTTCAACTCTGCTGTCCTGTTGTGTCCATACCACATAAATAACCTGAGTGTCAGGAGCTACTAGGCTTGGGTTGTTCTGAGACCTAAGTGTTCTCACAGGTTTTTTTTTTTGGGGGGGGGGGGGTGACAACTCTGCTGTCTAGCTCTAGGATGCCAGAACTTGAGGGCTGTAGTCAGCGGCAGTCAGTTGCTGCCCACAGACAAAGGGACAGACTCTGGTGAGGGAGTCTGAAGAAGGTAGATCTTCTATGTTTTCTTCCTCCATTTCTTCTGGGCCTTAGGCTATTGTTTTTATTGTCTTCTGGAAGCATGTAGGCTGGGCTTGGTGGTCCCCATCCAAAATCCTTGTACTGTGGAGGCAGAAGTAGGAAGGTCATGAGTTCAAGGCCAGTGTGGGATACATAAGCAGTTTCCAGTCAGCATGGACTGCATAGCAAGCATGATTCAAACAACAGGACAGATGGCTTGAGAAATGGCTCAGTGGTTAAGAGTGCTTGCTGTTTTTGCAGAAGAATGGAATTGAGTTCCCTACACCCACTTGGTGGCTTACAACCATGTGTAATTCCAGTTCTAGGGGATTTGACACCCTCTTTTGGCTTCCATGGGCACTGCAGCCACACAGTGCACATGCATACATGTGGGCAAAATCGTCATACATATGGGAAAAAAACCTTAACAAATTAGAACAGACAAATAAAAAATCAGGTAAGGGATGAGTTGGGGTAAAGGGTATAGATGTCATTTAAACCTTATTTTAAATTATTTTAGTTTGTCATTCAGAAAGTTTAAGCTATTACTGAACACTGGGGTAAACTAATACCTATATCTGCCTAGAATATTCAAAATAATGGATACAGAAAATAAGATGGAGAGGGGAAGATGGGTTAGTGTTTAATAGGTACAGAGTCAGTTTTGCACATGAATTCTGTGCACATAGGTAAGATGGCAGATTTCATGCTGTGTTTACGACAGTTGAAAAATAAATGTGCACATGCATATAATCCCAGCACTAGGAGGGCTGAAACAGGAAGATTGTGAGTTCAAGGCCAGCCTAGGTTATACAATGAAAGCATGTTACCCCCCCTCTCCCTAAAAAAGATTAGGGTGTGTTTGTGTGATAGGATCTCTCAAGATGGTGAGAATTAACTAATAAGTCATGAATAATGCTAAGTCTTGTGACCAGCAGCTGCTGCTCTTATTGTTAATTATAATAGTGACCCTGTTGTTTACTTGGTTTCTTTAAAAAATTCTCCATGTTTTAGACCTGTTTACCTGTCTGCACATTGGGTCTCAGGGTGAATAGGGATGAACTCAGGGTCTTGAGCAAGTGTTCTTCTATTGAGCTGTAATCCCAGCCCTGTTTTTCTTTTAATTTTGACACAAGTTCTCTCTCAAGTTGACTAGGCTGACTTTGAACTTACCTTGTATCCCAGGCAGGTTTTGAACGTGCAATCTTCCTGCCTCCCCTCCAGTGCTGGGATCATAAGCATGTGCCACCACATGTAATTTTGTGATTTTTTTCTTTAAGACAGGGTCTCATGTATAGTCCAGGTTATCCTTAAACCCCCGATCATCCTGTGTTCACCTCCCAAGTGCTGAAATTGCATGCATGTGCCGCCATACCAGGCTTCGTCGTGTGATTCTTTTTTGCTGTTTATTTTGTGAGATGGTCTTGAGTTCTAGCCCGGAACTCACTCACTGTGTAGTGAACTCACCAGATTGGCCTTGGACTTGGGATGTTCTCCTGTCTTAACTCTTATGTTCTGGTTCATTATGTGATTAAGAAAAATGATTTAGGTGTATGTGTGTGTGAATGTATGCCACATGTGTGGGTGTCCATAGGCCAGAAGAGAGCATCAGATCCCCTGGAGCTGAAGTTACAGGCAATTTGGCTTTTCTATTAAGAGCACTTGGGTGTGGTTCCCAGCTCCCACATGGTAGTTTAAAACAATCCATAACTTCAATTTCAGGGGATCTGGCTTCTGACCTCCAAGGGCACCAGGTACACATGGTACCCATTCATACATGCAGACAAAACATTCTTATACATAAAATTATAAAATCTCTATGCCTGATGGTAGTGACCCATGCCTTTAATCCCAGCACTTGGGAGGCAGAGGCAGACAGATCTCTGAGTTTGAGGCTGGCCTGGTCTACAGAGCGAGTCCTGGACAGTCTACAGTAGTTCCTGGGCTACACAGAGAAACTGTTTCGAAAAACCAAAATAAATAAATAAACTCTAAAAAGAATCTCTCTGTGTTCTTAGCTGGGTCTTTTCGTGGAGTTCAACACTGAGGACATGCTCCTGGGGATGGATGAGCCTGAAGATGAGGGCGACCTGGAGGCTGAGCTGTTGGCTCTCACTGGGGAAGCAGGGAGCACAAGCAGGAAGCCAGCACCCAAGGGCCGTGGTGAGTTTTCACCCCTGGCCTGGTGTAGGCCCATGGGGGAGAGAGGGTCCTTGCCTTACAGCCTGGAGGACTCAGTCAGCCTGCTCCCCTAGTTCTTTTGATAGTTCTGCCCTTCCTGTAGTTCAGCCACAAAGATGTCAGTTATGTACCTGTATTCGGAGCTTCTTCCCCTTCATGGACAAATCTGATTCTTAGCCTTACTCAGGTGATTAGCATTAGTCATGCATAGGTAGGGTTTCATATACAGTAGGGCCATCAGCACTGACAGAGTATGTGCACAGGAAATAGAAGTGATGTCAGATGAGTAAGCGAAATCTCCCTGTAGGTATCAGAATAAAGAGTCTGAATATTCCTCTTAGCAGGAACCATCAGAGGCAGCCTGTATATCTTTGAGCTAAAATCAGTGACATGACTGGGAAGGACTCACTACCCTAGCCCTGCTTTGGGGTTAGACAAGCCTGGGTTTGAATATTGCCACTTACTAAGATTGTGAATTTGGGGAAATGGATGTTGGTGCATCTTAGTTTATTCAGTATAGAAAATGAGGATATTGTTGGCCAGTTGGTGGTGGTGCACACCTTTAATCCCAGCACTCGGGAAGCAGAGGCAGAGGCAGGGGATCTCTTGAGTTAGAGGCCAGCCTGGTCTACAGAGTGAGTTCCACGACAGAGAAACCTTGTCTCAAAAAAAAAAAAAAAAAAAAAAAGGTGGGGGGGTTGGGGGGGAAATAAGCATAATGTTACCCATCTTACAGAATTGTAAGTAGTAAGACATTTGAGTAGATGTTAAAAGCATTTACAAATGTGAAAGGCAGTGTGGGGCAGTGTGTCGGTACACTAACCTACAAGCAGAAACAGGGAAGGAGCGGCTTGGTACTTGTTGAGGAGCCCAGGAAGGCGTCCATAGCACGGGTCTTTTGAGCTGGGTTGTGAAAAAAAGAGTACCTTTCTGAGTGGGACTGTGCTGTGGAAGGGATGGGGAGTTTCTGCCTGGGATAGCTACCAATAGAGTGAATTAAAGGCCCTCCTTTACTGTCCAGCACCTTACCTGAGTCCTCTCTCTCCTCAGCCCCCCCTGCCCATGGCCCACATTGAGAAGTTGGCAGCAGACTGTATGCGAGATGTGGAGGAGGAGGAGGAAGAGGAAGGGCTGGAGGAGGATGCAGACCTGCTGGTGTGTTTGCCAGGCTGGTGTCCAGGGGTCAAGCTCTGAAGTGTTTGAGGGGCTGGGGTTTGTTCCTCTTTGTCCGACCAAGTGAGCACCCTTCCCTTTCCTGGCCTTGACTTCTGGTCTGAGATCTGTCTGCAGTTTGGAATTCTCAAATTCTTTTGTTTTTATCAAGGTCTTCCTTGATTAGATTAAAGAAATCTTGGTAAGGGGGACTAAGCTCAGGATTTGACATTGACAGATACTGCTGGGGAAGTGGGTCCTTTCAACATTTTCTCCAGTCATGAGTGCAGCCATGAGGCACCCAAAGTTCTTGGCCTGTGTTTCCTCAGACAGAGCTGCAGGAGGTCCTGGGCGTGGATGAAGAAACTGGACTGCTCGATGGCAGTGAGGCAGCAAGCCCAGACTTGTCTGAGGAGACGACACAGGATGACACTGAACAACCTGGCGTGCAGGCAGCCTCCCAACAGGCTTTACCTGCAATGCCTCAGGTAGGTTTTGCAGAAGGGCCCTAATGTGTCTTTGATGCTCCTGTGTGTTCATGAATAGTGTGCATGAAGCATGGCTTATACAGCAGAGTTGCCAAGTAACTCGAACCCCTACACAGAGCAGGCATGAGAAACTTCCATAGCTGACAGACTTCAAGGGCCTTCCTGTTCCAGCTACTCCTGGACGTCATATCCTGGCCTCTACTGATTGGGACGGGGGCTCTGCTTGCCTGATATAATGTCTGGCCTCTCTTGTGGGCTTTGCCTCATACTCTGGGGGTTTAGGCACCTCTTTCTCCTGGAGTCCCAGAGATCCGTCTTCTGGGGTAGCTTCCTCACAGGGAGAGAATGGCAAGGGCCTAGCTGGCTATGGAGTGGCCCAGCCCTGAGCTGAAGTATCTGCAGGCTGGAGGGCCTCGGGGGCTGCAGGCTTTGCTGGAGGAACGGATCCATAACTACCGGGAGGCCGCAGCCAGTGCCAAGGAGGCTGGTGAAGCTGCCAAAGCCCGGCGCTGTGAGCGAGGCCTGAAGGTGAGTCAGCCTGTCTGTGAGGCAGATTTGGAGAGCAGGGCTGTGGGTGAGGTGAGAGTGCAGGGAATGCAACTCACAGGTGGGGTAGACATGGTGGATCACTAGCCTGTCTTCCAGCAAGGCCCAGGCCCAGGCAGCTACCTGGGTTACTAGTCTAATTCTTTCCTTCAGACTTTGGAGTCCCAGCTTGCCACTGTGAGGAAAGGCGGGAAGATCAGTGAGGATGAGATTCCACCTCCAGTGGCCTTGGGCAAAAGGCCCCCACCCCACCAGGAGATAGCCAATAGGAACTCTGAGACAGACTCTTCAGCTTCTTGTGCCATGGAGCCAGGTATCTGAAGACATCCTTTTCTGGTTCCTATAGCCTGCCTACCCCAGCTGCCTGCCTGTCGTTGTTCTAAGAATTCCTAGACCAGAAAGACTTGGGTTTCAGAGTGTTCTCCTGGAACTCGCTCCTTTGACTCTGTAGCCACGTTCTCTGGGGGTCTTTTGTTTTATGTAGACAACCTTTTCCAACCTGAGACCAGCCTCCCAGGCAGCTCTGCCATTGCCCCCCTGCCTGATGCAGACCCAGACCCACAGGCCCTGTTGTTAGCCCGACAGAGAGAGTACAAAGTAGCTGCTCTCAATGCCAAGCGGGCTGGAGATCTGGATCGTGCCCGGGAGCTCATGAGGATTGGGAAGGTATGACATCCTGCTTTCATACTGTAGATGGGGAAGCAGAGGCTCAGAGAGGGAGCCAGATAGCACCTGGGGGAGAGTGGCCTGGTGGAAGTTGTTTCAGGTCAGGTTCTTGGGGTGCCCTGGCTTATGCCTGTAACTGCTCTTCTTCTGCAGAGATTTGGTACTGTCCTGGAGGCCCTGGAGAAGGGGCAGCCTGTGGATCTGAGTGGCATGCCCCCAGCACCTGAGGGTCAGTCAGATAATGGGGTATCTGCTTAGGCAGGGAGGACTGTGAGGTGTGGGGTTGGCCAGACACTCTGCCTACCTTGCTACTCTGGGTCCCCAGATCTGAAGACCCTCACACAGGCTTCTAAGGCCCCCATAGCAACTGGAGCCCTGTCCCCAGCAGTGGAGCAAGTGCAGCCAGTGATGGCCTCTGACCTCCCAGCCACCCCAGGTAGGACTTAACAGTGGGACAGTGGAGTGGGAGCCTGGGAAGAGTAGGGTGAACTGATAGTTTCTTTTTACCACCTTTGTAGTGGCCCCTGCAGAGCCAAAAACAGTGCTGGATGCTTTACAGCAGAGGTTGAACAGGTACCGGGAGGCAGGCATCCAGGCCCGGGCCAGTGGGGATGAGCGCAAGGCCAGGATGCATGATCGAATTGCCAAGGTGAGCCAGTTGCTGTCCAGCCCTATGCTATGCTGGCGTGTCCTGGCTGTGCCTTTCCTACCCGCTTCCCTACATGCCCTGGCCTTCTCGGTCATTGTCTGTTTACAGAGCTCTTGCTGCCTCGGGACCCCTTCTCTTCTAGGGCTGCAGCCTTTCCCTGTCTTCTTTCTCTGCCTCTCTGCAATGAGGGCATAGAGCCTGCAGGGTGCAGGGTGCTAGAAATCCCTTCCTTCCCATGTAGCAATATCAGGATGCTGTTCGAGCTCATCAAGCAGGGCAGAAAGTTGACTTTGCTGAGTTACCTGTTCCTCCAGGTGGGTAAGGCTTGGCCTATGGAACTTAGGAGGTTTCTGAGCAAGAAAGGAGGGAGAAGTTTCTCATATGTGTGCCTCCACCTTGTGCAAGTTACCCATCCCAAAGCCAGGCAAGACCCACAGCAGCCTCACATGTCCTTAATGCTGCTGCCTTGCTCCCTCTCTACCCTGTCTCTTCTCAGGATTTCCTCCCATCCCTGGCCTGGAGACCAGGAAAGGTATCCAGGATGATTCAATGGCAGCAACTTTAGCAACTGCCCAAAAACTGGCCTCAGAAGATGCAGACCTGGTAGATGAAGATGAGGAGGTTTGGCTATGGGTCCAGGACTTCGGGGGTTTAGTCAGGGGGACAGCAGATAAGGAATAAACCCAGACCCTGCTGTAGTGTATTAACCTCATAAAATAGAGATCTTTTCCTCTATTTTAGAGAAAAACTTTGTCAGAGGCAGAACTAGAATTCAGACATGGGTATTTCTGACCCCAAACCCAAGTCTCTTTTTATTCCTGTGATGCTTCATGTTGGGGAAGTTAGGCTAGAAAGCTTTTGAAGTTTCCGTCTTTGAGTTCTATAACCCTGGAGGCAAAGCCACTCCACTGAGGTCACAGAGTGAATGGGTGCAGCATTGGGTAGGTAGCCAAAGTCTAGGCCAGGTGGGAATGATAAGTATTTGATAGCCTCCTAACTGGGTGCTACCTGCAGAGTGACACCCCAACACAGGCCCCAGTGGCCAAGAAACCAGCACAGCCTCTGGCTCCTTCATCTCGTCTTCTGACAGAGCCCAAGGCCTCGGGTTCTAAGGAACCACTGAGTCCATCTGGTGAGTCAGGGACAAACAGGACAGAGGAGTGGAGGTCCGGAGAGAGGCGTGGCCCTAACTATTGGCCCTCTTCTTTTAGCTCGGGAGCAGCTGGCGCTGCTGGAGGCTCGGAAACTACAATACCAACGAGCAGCTCTGCAAGCCAAGCGCAGGCAGGAGCTGGAGCAGGCCAAATCCCACTTACGAGTGGCTAAAAGTCTTGAGGCCCAGATCATCCAGGTCCGAGCAGGTCAACCCATTGACCTCTCCAAGGTGAGTTCCACCTACTGAAGCAGAGGGCTGCCTCAATCACAGAGGTGGGGCTGGTTGATGGGCGGAGCGAGGACTTGTGTCAGATGGTGTCAGCAGGGAAAGAGCGTTTTGTTTTTCTCCCTTTTGTAACCCTGAGATAGACCATTGGGGAGATGGAAGGGAAAAGGAATATGGGTCACCTGTGGTGAGAGGTGACATGGCAGGGCCAGTCTAGGAGAAGCAGTGCTCTAATAGCCCAGAGACAGAATGGGAGGCATAAGTGTCACTGGAAGTTAATGGCAGTTGGGAAGAAAAAAGTATGGCATGGATTTCAGTGTTTGTTTGGCTCAGTAGAGGTGTAATCTGACTCTTGGGCCCGAGGGGCCTTATGATCTGGGCAGGTGCCTTCACCCTTGACGGATGAAGAGGGCGACTTCATCCTCATTCACCATGAGGATCTGCGACTCTCCCAGAAGGCTGAGGAGGTGTATGTCCAGCTACAGAAAATACTCCTGGAGCAGCATGAGGTCAGCAGCCCATATATCTCTGCCTTCTCTGTGTGCTAGCATGGGTTCAGAGTCAATTTTCCCACTGGCCGAAGGTAGGACCCGGGACAAGCTGTTTTCCTCATTTGCAAAATAAGCTACCCTTTTTTATTTAAATTTTTTTGTTTGGTTTTGTTTTTTGTTTTTCGAGACAGGGTTTCTTTGTGTAGCTTTGCGCCTTTCCTGGAACTCGCTTTGTAGACCAGGCTGGCCTCAAACTCATGGAGATCCGCCTGGTTCTGCCTCCTGAGTGCTGGGATTAAAGGCGTGCGCCACCACCGCCCGGCCTTTGTTTAATTTTTTTTAACATGTATGTTTTGCCTACATGTGTGTATACATATATCACATATGTGCCTTGTGCCCATAGAGGTCCAAAGACATTGGATTCCTTGAAACTGGAGTTGCAGGTGCTTGTGAGCCACTGTGTAGGTGCTGGGAACCAGATTCAGGTCCTCTGCAATAGCAAGTGCTCTTAACCAGTGAGCCCCCTTTTCTCTCCAGCCCCCTTTTTTCATATAGTTATGAAGGGGAATGGGTTTTGTGAAAGGGAATTGACCTGAAGTGCTAGCTTTTCTGGGAAGACTGTTCTGAGGTATATGCTTGAATTTATTTTCTGATGCTCTTGATCTTTGAGACAGGATCTTGCTGTGTACCATGCTGTCCTAGAACTCATCATGGACCCTAGACTGACTTCAAATTCAAAGTCCTTCTGCCTCAGCCACCCAAATGCTGGAATTAGAGACAAGTGTCACCACACACACATAAATTAAGTTTTGAAGGAAGGAGTTTGCCAAACGAATTTTTGGGAAATGGCTATCCTCAGAGGAAGCACCAAAGTATAGTAGAGCCAAGCATGGTGGGTGATACATACCTGCAATACCAGCACTTGGTAGGGTGAGGCAGGAGAACTACCATGAGTTCCAGTGTGCGCTATGTAACTGAAATCCTGTCTCAAATTGACAAACACACGTTAAGCAGGAAAGTGTGTTAGAAAGAGCGTCCTAGGAATATGTTCTGTAGGAGAGGTGAACTAAAGAGGACTATTAGCTTTGAGAGGTTAGGCCTTGAATGCTAGCCTTGGCAAGCCCCGCTCTGGCTATGGAGTCACTCTGGGCTCCTGTTTCTAGAAGTGCCTGCTGTTCTCCAAGCAGTTCATGCACCAGGGCAATGTGGCTGAGACTACCCGGTAAGTGTCAGGGTGTGCTGGCTTGTTGGGTTAGGGACCAGATAACAAATCCTACCTTGCTGACTTGGTTACCCGTCCCTGGCAGGTTTGAGAAGCTTGCTCAGGACCGAAAGAAACAGCTTGAGATCCTGCAGCTAGCCCAGGCCCAGGGCCTTGACCCTCCCAGCCACCACTTTGAATTGAAGACATTCCAGACTGTGAGGTGCCAAAGCCTGAGGGAAACTGGCTCTGTGCAGGGATAGGGCAGAAGGTTTGGAGCAGAGCCTGGAGTCTCTTCAGTACATGGTATTGGAGTGTGTGGAGGGGCGGGGTGGATATGCTGCCTTCAGAGAGCAGCTCAGAGCTGCTGTGCCATAGAAGTGGCTCAGAGCAGGAGTCAGAGACCACGGACCGACCGCCAGCCCCGCTCCACCCTGGACCACTGTGCTGGCTTGTCCCGCTGCCGTCGTTCACTCTGCACTCTCTTCTTCTGATCTTAGGATCTTCTCAGAACTCAACAGCACAGAAATGCATCTGATCATCGTCCGGGGAATGAACCTCCCAGCCCCACCAGGTAACCAAGGGTCACCTCACTGAAGGAGGTTGTTCCCGTAGCCTGCCTGCTGCCTGGGCACCAGGCTCTGACTGTGCTTTCCAACCTGACTCCCTTTTTCTTTATAGGAGTGACTCCCGATGACTTGGATGCTTTTGTGCGCTTTGAGTTTCACTACCCTAACTCGGTGAGGTTCTGCTCGGGTTAGGACCCTCTGAACCCCAGTGCTGTTTAGTGTCTCGCCGTCTTGGAGAGGCATGGCCATAGGGATGGGTTGAAGACACTCTGGCCCGTCTGCAGGGGTTGCTGTCCTTACTGCTGACCCAGCCAAAGCATTGTGCCTGTAGACCTGCTTTGTTTTTATCTGTCTTGACTTCTTCCATCTCACTGCTGTAGGACCAGGCTCAAAAAAGCAAAACAGCCGTGGTAAAGAATACAAACTCTCCAGGTGAGTTACACATAAGACCCATTTCTGCTCTCACTTCCTGTGTGGACAGCCCAGCTTCTCAGGTTTTAAGAGCTGCTAACTTGGCCCCACCCAACTCAAAAATAAGGCAGGTGTTATTAATAGTTCTCTTACATAGTTGTGAAAACAGGCCTAGTGCTGGAGAGGGATCAGTGGTTAAGAATGTACTGCTCAGCCCGGTGGTGGTAGTGCACGCCTTTAATCCCAGCACTCGGCTGGGGAGGCAGAGCCAGGTGGATCTCTGTGAGTTCGAGGCTAGCCTGGTCTATAGAGTGAGATCCAGGGCAGACACCAAAACTACACAGAGAAACCCTGTCTTGAAAAGGAAAAAAAAAAAAAAAAAAAAGAATGTATTGCTCTTGGGCTGGAAAGATGGCTCAGTGATTAAGAGCACTGGCTGCTTTTCCAGAGAACCACAGTTCAATTCCCAGCACCCACATGGCAGCTCAAAACTGTAACTCCAGTTCCAGGACATCCAGTACTCTCACACCCTCACACAGATGTACATAAAATTAAAAAAAAAAAAAAGAAAAAATGTACTGCTCTTGCAGAAGACCTGCTTCTGGTTCCCAGCACCCACATCAAGGGGTATACACCGTCCTGTAACTAGCTCGAGAGAGATATGACGTCTCTGGCAATCTTGGTCACTTGCACACACATGTGCATACATACACACTAATAAAACTAATAAAGGTCTTTTTAAATTTCTATGAGACAGGATCTCAGTATGTATAGCTCTGCCTGGCCTGGAACTCATAGAGATCCACCTACCTCTGCTTCCTGAGTGCTGGGATTAAAGGTGTGCACCACCACACCTGCAGAAAAAAATTAATGAAAATCTTAAGAAAAAGCAATTCAAAAACTGAGGCTTGAGGTTAGTTGAGTAAAGGGATTTGTCTGGGGGCTCACAGCAAGGAAGTGTTAAAAATGAACTTGAGCCGGGCGGCGGTGGTGGCGCACGCCTTTAATCCCAGCACCCGGGAGGCAGAGCCAGGCGGATCTCTGTGAGTTCGAGGCCAGCCTGGGCTACCAAGTGAGTTCCAGGAAAGGCGCAAAGCTACACAGAGAAACCCTGTCTCGAAAAAACAAAAAAAAAACAAAAAAAAATGAACTTGAAGGCTGGGTGTGTGATGGCTCACACCTGTAATCCCAGCACTTGGGAGGCAGAGGCAGAATCGCAGCAAGGTTAATGCTAGTGTGGTCAATATAGTGAATTACAGGCCTGCCAGGGCTACACAGTGAAACCCTGTCTTAGGCAAGGGTGGGGGTGGGGGTGGGGGTGATGTTACTTGAATCCAGGAATTCTCACTCCAGATTCCAAATGCTTTCCATTATATAATCTGTGTCTCCAGGCACCAAAGTGTTTACAAGGCCAGAACCTACATGTTCTGCCTTTCTCTGGTGGCTGACACCCTGAATTGCAGGCAATGAGCTCCAGAGAGGAAGCCTGCCCTGGGCTTCCTTTCTACTTCCCCAAGAATTCCAATCCTCTCCTTGCAGAATTTGAACAAGTTTTCAAACTAAACATCAACCGAAATCACCGGGGCTTTAAGAGGGTGATCCAGAGCAAAGGAATCAAATTTGAGATCTTCCACAAAGGGTAAGAGTTCTGTCAGTCCCACTGGCAAGGCAGAAGAGGAGGAATGGAGAGGTGTTCTTGCTGTTCCTATACTGGTTTTGCTTGCATTGAACGTGACCAGTTCATTCCTGCCCGCTCTGCCCAGGCTAATCCTCTGTTGCCTCTTGTCTTCCCAGATCCTTTTTTAGAAGTGACAAGCTGGTTGGCACAGCACACCTGAAATTGGAAAGGCTGGAGAATGAGTGTGAGATCAGAGAGATCATGGAGGTAGGGCCCAGGATGAGCTGATATTCTTGGAACTCTATTGAGGGTTCTGTGCACATTTTCAATTTGTCTGTAGTGTGCTTTGGAATGGGCTGTATCCCCATGTTTTAGATGGAAGAAGTCAAGAAAGTCTGAGCAACTTTCAAAGGCAGCCAGATGGGCAGTAGCCATACTCTTTCCATAGTCTGGGACTACTTAAGTTCCTAGGAGGGATAGTTGAGAGAAGACCCTTGAGGATTCTGACCAGTGCTCAGCATGGTATAGATTTCTCTTTGTAGGGCTGTGTTGTGCTTGGGGCAGTGGGCAAGTAGCAGGAGGCAGAGAACGAGCTCCAAACAGGAAGTGGATATAGTATTTCTAGATCATATGCAAATTGTGATTGGAAACTGGGCAGGTAGCTCCTTAAGCTTCCATGACCTTACAGAGTTACACAAGGTGAGGAGCTTTAAGAACCTGCCTTTGGGCCGGGCGGTGGTGGCGCACGCCTTTAATCCCAGCACTTGGGAGGCAGAGCCAGGCGGATCTCTGTGAGTTCGAGGCCAGCCTGGTCTCCAAAGCGAGTTCCAGGAAAGGCGCAAAGCTACACAGAGAAACCCTGTCTCGAAAAACCAAAAAAAAAAAAAAAAAAAGAACCTGCCTTTGACAAATGGGGAACAAGCCAGCAAAGAAGGGACTTGTTAGTTCCTAGTTTGTGCTTGGTAGAGCCAGGTCCAGACAGATCCTTACTGATGCTTCTAGAGGCTAGAGCTTGCCTCTCCCCACCTGGAGCTGTCCTAACGTGGGGCCTAGTCTTAATTGCCTAAGGGTGGTCGAATTTCTCAAGCTTCTTGCTGTACTTTGTATTCAGTCATTCCCTCATCTGCCTTAGAAGAGGGCATGGCCTGAGTTCTACTTGTGACTGCTACCATTTCTCTGTGGGCCATGTGTGAGGGTGTAGGCTCTGGCTTCAGACTGCTCCTTGAAGCCAGTGCTAATTCTAGGAGTTATGAAGATCAAGAGGAAAAACAGAATAGAGCTATGGGTTTCTCATCTCCAGTCAGAGCACTGATACCTTGATCTCTAGGTTACTTATTTATAAGATCTGCTGAGAGTAAGCAGTCCACCACTTCCCATATTGCAGGAGGAAGGCAGGGCTGTCCTGATGCATACACCCAGGATGCCTTATTTGCTTGGGACCTATCTGCCCTACCTGCCCTCAATTACTGTCCATTTCTCTGTGGTTGTCACAGGTTCTGGACGGAAGAAAGCCCACTGGGGGAAAGCTGGAGGTGAAGGTGAGGCTTCGGGAGCCTCTGAGCAGCCAGGATGTGCAGATGGTCACTGAGAACTGGCTGATCCTGGAGCCTAGGGGCTTGTGAGGTGGGTAGCAGCTCTCTGAGCCACCAATCTGTCTCCCTACTCAAACAACTTGTTCAGCCATTTCTGGGGAGAAAGCCTTTGATTTGTTCTCTGAAGGAGACTAAAGGCAAAACTGTTGGGAAGTGCTTGTGGGTTGTTTCTGAAGTTCCACAATAGACTTGGGGCAAGAAGAGAGCTTCTCATAGTTAACCGTTTTCAGAAACCTTTTAAAAATTAGATGGTTTTCTTTGTGCTTTTGCCTTGTGAGGTGGTCAGCCCTGGGAGATAATCGGCCAGCACTGGTACCAGCTCACTGACCCAGCTTTGCCGGCTGCAAGAGCCTCTGTACGTGAGAGATGCTGCTACCCAAGCGCCAAAGACCCGTGAACTAACCGCTGCCTGGGCTTTCCTCATGCTGCCTCTCCTGGGCCTCCGTGGAAGCAGATCTTAGGAGCTTATCATACAGCCTCCCACCCCCCAGATGTGGGTGGAGATAAGGATACCCCCCTTGCTCTGTGCCATAGAGTCCTATTGCCCCTTAACCTCTGCATAGTAATGACGGACAGTTTACTCCAGCCCCCAGTTGCTCCATTTCTGGATGTGCCTTTCAAAGATGTAACTGTAAGGGATGGGAGACTTGAGGGTGATCGGAAACCTTCCCTGTTTAGGGGAGGGGCAGAATTCCATGACTCCAGCTGGTCAGTGGCAGCCTGTCCTACCCAGCTGTTTCCCCTCTGCCTGTGCCTTTGGTCCTGACACCTGCTGCACTAGCCTTCCTGCTTCTCAGGGGACTCAGGAAGAGGAAAGTTACTTTGGTACAATTGGTGGGAAGGGGAAGGTTTTCTTGGATTTGGTCCATGTACCTAAGATGTTAACTGGGAAGAAAAGAAAAAGAAAAAAAAAAAAGATCAGTTCTGTGTAGCCATTTTTATTTTAAAACTAGGTCTAATTCCCTGTAAGGACTTTATATTCTAAACTGTTAATTTACTATCAAAGTCTTCAAACGCCCTGTTCCCGGTCACTTTAAAAGCCAAAGCAGCAGTATCATGTGTACACTGCACCTGTGCATTCCTCTTGTGAGAAGGCCTGTCCTTGAGCTGATCACTTGGCTAACCCCAAGTTCTATAGCTTTTGTGGTGAATGGATGGAAATGAAGGGACAGGTAGTTGCAGCAGAGTTAATATTCACAAATACATTATTCTGGATTCCTCAGAAATCAGCACCTCAACTCTTCCCGTTTTAAAGCATTAACCTCAACAAAGTATTCCTCCAGATTTACTTTATATTTTTATTTATTTATTTTGGTTGTATGAGGCAGGGTCTCACTCTGTAGTTCAGGCTGGTCTTGAACTCACAGCAATCCTCCTGCTTCAGCCTCCCTAGTGCTGGGATTACAGGCACGAGCCACCATGCCCGGCTTCCTCAAGATCATTTGTGAAGGCTCTCCGTGAAAGGAGTACATTCAGCTGCTGGTCACACAGTGTTGCATAAGCACAGCTCCGGGATGAGCTTTTGTGTGTCTGCTGGAGAGAACAGGGCTGGACCATGCTTCCCTGCCCTTAAGAGCTTATCAGAATGATTAGTGGGTAACAGGGGAGAAACTGCGGACAAGTGATCTTCCCCAGAGCAGATGTGAGCTCCCAATCTTTCATATGTAAGAGATTTAACAATTACAGTCACATTGTGTGTCCAGCAGTGATTTGGAATGAAAGGGTCTCTGCCTTCCTTCATGAAGGAACCCAGAGCAGAGAGGGGTGGCCTGAAGAGTGTACTTCCTTTACAGTTTGCATCTGACTCAGCGCTTGCTACAGTGAAGAACCCCTGGGGTTATTCTCCAAGATCCCCATGGGCCCTTGGCATTTCTCACTTCACCCCTCTGCTGGAGCTGTTCTAGTGTTCTGAGACTTCAAGGATTTCTCTTTACCACTTGTTCACTTTCAGTCCGCTTTATTGCTCTGCTTAGTGAAAAACAACCTCAAGGCTTGACACAGCCACCCACTGGACTTGGAGACTGAGGTTCTTAAAAGGTCTTTGTTGTAGCCAAGGAATGCATGAGTAGGGGGAGGGCCTGCATAAAGCCTCATTTATGTAAGATTTGTTCAAACACAGTCACCAAACATTGTTCATGGATAACTGAGAACCAGCCACAACCCAAATCATTTCTAAATATCTCACTGCGTGTCCTTTGAGTTACTTAACTGAATAAAATACGGAATTTGAGAGTCAGGAAATTTTGCTCACGAAAGGCAAAGATTTCTAGGATTTTTTCCTTTGTGTAGCACCACTCTAAAACCTGTGTGGTGCTCGTCTAGTCCTTAAGGCTCCCCACCACCACCACCACCAAATATTTGTGGAATTCTCTAAAAGATCTGGGCACTAAATGAGGTCAGCTGTTTTGAGTTTGAAACAATGGCTGGGGCTGGTAGTCCCAGGAAGTGTGTACCTGCTCCATTTCTAATGTGTTAAGGATCAGATGATTCTTCCCTTCTCTGGGCCTTAGGTGCCTGGCCCCTAAGATGGGCATCAGCAGTCCTGCTCTATTCCTAGGTCCTATGTATATGACTCTTAAAAATCCCATTACCATTATTTAGCTTTAGCATTAGTAAAATAGAAGCTACTGGGGCTGGGGATTTAGCTCAGTGGTAGAGCGCTTGCCTAGCAAGCACAAGGCCCTGGGTTGGATCCTCAGCTCAAAACAAAACAAAAAAAAAAACAACCCTGTCTCGAAAATAGAAGCTACTGTTAGAAATACACTAAATGCATAATTATCTTTCAGATGATCAGAGAAGTCTGGAGTTTGGAGCCCACCAGCAGGGCCTAGTGTAGATGGAGAAGACAGGAGATGGGACCTTAGTCCTATCATTCTGTCACCGGAGTGCAGGAGGTATTGAGAGAGCTGAAAAAATGGAGAGTACCAGGTATAGTGGCATATTCCTGTGACCCCAGCACTTGGGAGGAGGAGGCAGGAACATCGGGAATTAAATATTATCTCTGACTAGATGTGAGTTTGAGGCCAGCCTGGGCTACAAGAGAGCCTGTCTCAAAAAAACAGTAAATATATTATACAATATATGCTTACAAATACACGTGGTAAGCATACAACAATTCTGCTCTTCTGTGTAGAAGCTCTGTATTTATCTTTTAGGTTTAAACCTAGAAAACCTTGCCTAGTTAGGAATGTGATGCTTCAGCATTTCACATTTATAATTTATAATATAAATTATAGTACACATTATATAAAGCCAAAGTTAAAAGGAGAAAAAAAGTATCCTTGATGGCTTAAGCCCAATTTTCCAAGATGATTTTACTACACATGAAGGATATTTTATGAATTAAGAACGGACCTGTATTTATGGCTCTAAAATTTGTTCTTTGTGGGATGGTTGGAAACCTTGTATGTTCTAGCAGATCCAAGTCCAACAACAGTAAGGTGCAGTTAGCTGGGCAGGGGGATGAGGCAGCTGCTGTGGAAGCTCCCATCTTTTGAGGTATATTCAGATTAATCTCAATATTAACACCTAATATGCCTCTCTTGTTAAGAGCTTTCTGTCATTGAGGATGGCTCAAAGGCTCTTTACTTACAAATTAGTGCTGTTTGGGGCCAAAGGGCACCTCTGAGGCTTTTTATCTAAATCTTATAGAAAGGTCGTGATCCCATTTCTGTAGCTTCTATCAGCAAAACCTTGGAGAATCCGGTGTAGAGTGTAATCTTCACCCAGCAAAGAGATGGTCACAGTCAGGCACATTGGCCAGGCCAGGCCTTTGGGCCTTTAGAAAACAGCTACTTACCCAAACAGGTCTATAGCCAAGGGCCAGGCTCAGCCTTAACCACAGGAGAGGGGTGGCAGCAGGCTTCCACTGTCCCAGAGGCCTGCATTTGAACCCAGGGCATGTGAGAACTCTGCTTTTGCTTAATGGAACTAGATCCTGTGTGGTCTGGGCTTTAGAAGATGCCATGGACACTAGCATCAGTTGCCCTAGAGTATATTTCAAACTAAGAGAAATGCATTTGGCCTGTGATCAAAATAAATTTAACAAAGATAAAATCAGAGTGTATCACGTCTTGGGTGAACCAGACCTTGGTTTCCTGTACTATTCCAGTTAAAGGGCTGCTTAGAGATAAAGTGATTCCAAGCCTGGCAGGTAAGTGCAAGATTAGCCTGGGACATCTTGTTAGGCTAGACAGGAAGGATTAAAAATAAATGTGTCGCCGGGCGGTGGTGGCGCACGCCTTTAATCCCAGCACTCGGGAGGCAGAGCCAGGCGGATCTCTGTGAGTTCGAGGCCAGCCTGGGCTACCAAGTGAGTTCCAGGAGAGGCGCAAAGCTACACAGAGAAACCCTGTCTCGAAAAAACCAAAAAAAAAAAAAAAAAAAAAAAAAAAAAAAAAAAAAAAAAATAAATGTGTCACAAAAGGATGCAGGACCCAGCTTGGAGGTGTTCTACTTAGCCAAAGATGAACTCACCTGAGTACCAAACTAAGAAAGTACAACTCCACAAGACTAATGTGAGAACTGAATAACAGATGAAGGGAGGTCTTATTTGTTTTAGATGATTAAGTCCAGCTGGTACAGAAAGGGCATGCTGGAACTAGAAAGTCATTTTGCAGCTGTCACAGTAAAGATCAGTGCAGGCAAGAAACATCAGTGATGCTAAAGCTAAGGGAAATTCTGAGGAGCAAGACATCTGCATAGTCTGAAAAGTGCTCTGCATACACTGGTTACTGTTTAAAGGGAAGTACACAGTAGGGAAACTAGACGTGCTGAGCAAATGATGATGAAATTTGCTACCATCTCTGAGAGGTAGAAGGACATCAAGTGATTCCGGCTGAGAATGTAATAAACTGATTATCACCGTCAGACAGCAAACTCAAATGACATATTTTCTGCTAAAACAAAACAAGATCCGGGATGTGAGGGCCTATACTCAAAAATACCCATGCCGTAGAGAAACAAAGCCCGTCTAAGAACTATGTGCGGTCTCTGATCCTTGGCTGCAAAATGTTCACCACTGAGGAAAGGTTCCCAAAGGACATCACTGGGCAGCTATGGGAGGTTAAAGCCATCAGTCACAGTGACCTTGACTGAAGTCCGATTTGGGCAAGGAGCAAACATTTACTGTATGCACCTTAATCTGAACTATTTCAATTTTATAGAGGAAGGAGAGAGAACACTGACAGATCACGTGGGGGAATAGTTAGTGGGAACGTGAGTAAGTGAGGCTGTATAAAAGAGGACATGGGTTTTTCCTTCTTACATCTACAACTTCCCTGGAAGTTTAAGTGATTTCTTAGTAAAATGTTCTTCAAACTCTTTCTAGTAGACAGGAATGAAAATGCCTTGGTGTCCCTTCCCAGCTGTCACACAAGGCCCATCTCACTCCCTGCCATCCACTGCAGCAGACTGAATGACCCAGCACTCAACTCTGCCATCCAAACGGCCTGCTCTACACCGCGTTATCCTTCCATGGCTAACAGACGAGAAACCCCTTTGGTTTGAGTCAGTCAGTAGTCTGAACAAATAAACACAAATCTAAATGTGACTCCTTGGCAAGCAGCCAGAGTGTAACCAGGATGGTAAGTGTAGCAGTGTAGCATTCTTTTTATGCCAGTTCTGTACAGGAAGTGCAAAAGTGACGCTTCATTGTTTATTTCCTTTCTGCCCCCCACCCTGACCTTGGTGATGGTTGTACCCCTATGATCATTTCTGAGCACATGACCATCAGAGAGGAGCAGAACTCTTGTCTCGACAGTAACAGAAGGGGGTTAGCTGCAAAGATATAACGGTTGTGCAGTAGGAAGCTGCCCGGGTCTTCTTGGAGAATGCATAGAAGACTTAAGATCATGGAACATCTGTTCCCCACCACCCTCCCCACCCCTTGTCCCCTAAACCCTACTCCCACCCTGAACCCTCCCTACCAATAGTGTTAACAAAAGCTTAATCTTCCAGTTTTAAAGTGCAAATGATTTGGATATGACTGCTGTTGCAACAGGTCTAAACAGAAAAAAACGAAGTCCTCATCTATGCGATGTTTTCCAGAATATAAAAGATGAGTTCCATGACGACAGGCCCCTCACTGAGCTGGCAGGCTCCTCCGTGGATAACAGGCACCAAGGCGCTGTCCAAATCGTTCATGTACTGCGAGGGAAGGGGCTGGCCATTGCTCCCTGCTTGATAGCCAACCTAGCACAGAGAGAAGGGGATGACAGGTTACTGGACACGAAAGATCTCTCCAGAGGGCTGAGCCGAAGAGGCCAAGCAAGAAATACCACATCCTCTGCCATGAGCTAGACACACGACAGTGCATACAAATTCCTTCCCTTTTAACTGTGGTTTATCCTTCTGACATCGACTATTCACCCCGGCCACCTGATAGCTATGAGACCTTAATCTGCTAATGTCTATTTCCTGGGAAGAGAAAACTGACTCAGATAACACTCTAGTCTCTGGCTGTAAAAACTAAAGTGAGGAATATAACATGGCATTTGCTCTGCAGCCCATGCAGTCACCAGCACACCATTTTTTAAGCAACTGAAAACAGAAATTCAAAGATAAAGGGCCCTTTCCCTCAAGAACACCACAAACTTAGCAGAAAAATGCTTGCTATCCAATTGTTCCATGTGAGGGAGCCTCTAGATAGGTTATCAGTACCACATGAGATGGAAGCATGATGCTTTTTCACTAGGATTACACAGATAAACTTTTCTAAATTGCATTTAATTTATGTGTACAGGTATATGCATGCACCATGGTGCATGTGCCATGATATGCAGGCAGAGATCAGATCTCTCCTACTGAATACATGGGTTATGGGGATTGAACTCAGGCTGTCACGCTTGGTAGCCGTTGAGCTTGTTTTTTGAAATTGCTGTTTCATTTGGTTTTGTTGTTGTTGTTTTGAGATGAGGTCTTACATAACTCAGACTGGTCTCAAGCTTTCTATGTAGCCAAGGACGACCTTAAGTCTTTGATTCTCTAAGTCTCCACCTCAGATACGCTAAGATACAAGTGTACATCACTATGCACAGCTTACGTGGTGCTGAGGATCAACTCTAGGGCTTTACACATGTTAGGCAGACACTCCAAGCTACATCTTCTGCCCAGATTTGCTTTTTTTTTTTCTTCAGCGTAGGACAAGACCATAAGTGAAAATAAACACTGGCTGATGATGCCCAGTGAAGAAATGAAGCCAGACACAGAACTTTTCACCCTGCCCTTATAATCTATTTGATTAAATTCTGCACTGAAAAGTCAGATTTCCCCCATGTAAGCACCAAGATAGAAGCAGCTTCGGGGCAGAATTAATTGCTGACTGGGGGCGGGGGAGTATCAGGTTGAGAGCCCACACTCATTTCTTCTTTAAAAAGAAACTTTTTTTCTTTCAATGTGTGTGACTGTTTTGCCCGTACGTATGGATGTGAAATGTGTGTGCCTGGTGCCCAAGGAGGTCAGAAGAGGACCAGTCAGATCCCCTAGAACTGGAGTTAAGGATGGTTATAAACCACTACGTGGGTGCTGGGAACTGAACCACGGTCCTCTGCAAGAGCAACAAGTACTCTTTATCCATGAGCCATCTCTCCAGCCCCTACCCCACTCATTTCTAATAACTCAATGCTAAGGACTGAGCGTGAAAATGATAGATAGCAAATTACAGGCATTCAATGCAGGGCCAATGAGACCTGCTGTGGAGAGAGGCACTAGGACAAGGTACTGGGGTTTGGGAGGTGAGGACTGGATTGCTCATACAAGGAGCACATAAAAACATCAAGCCAGGCATGGTGGTGCACAGCTTTAATGTCAGCACTCAGGAGGCAGACAGGCAAGCAGATGGATCTCTGGGATTTCAAGGCCAACCAGGGCAACATAGTCTCAAAAAACAAACCAAAAAGCCAAACAAAAAGTAAACAAAAATAAAAAAGCAAACACCTATCGAATAAGTCCCAGTGACAAGAAAACTGTCGGGGAGACCGTGCAAACCTAGCCGCTAACCACATGAAGGCATTGGCTGCAAGAAAATCTTACTAGGCCATGGTAACTGCAGATGCCAGTCAGGGGAGCTTGGTCCCGCTAAGTGAGAAAGGCAAGATTAGGGACACCTGGAAGCTGCCCCAAGGGCTGCAGAGGGGAACTTCAAAGGGTAACAGGTGCTCTTCACAGGTGGCAGGGCCTCCCTGTTTCTTCCATACCCTACAGGCCACAGTGCAAATGGTTCTGACCAGGAAGCACAGCCTTGTGTTCTTGGGGGATGTGAGGTCATTTAGGCTCTGGGGTGACTCAGAAAAAAGAAAACAGACACTTCTCAAGGCAGCTCCAAAAGCCGCCCCAGGTGCTGCTTACCTGGTCTGAGTCCAGTGTCACACGGAGGCCCAGCTTTGTCATTCCATCCTCCTTCAGAAGCTTCAGGTGGGGGCAAAGGGCAAGGCAGAAGGCCTTGGCGACATGCTCAGTCAGTCTGCTGTGGTCCGCAGGATCACTCAGGCAGTTGTGCTGGTCGTCGTTTTCCAGGAAAAACACCTGTCCCCAAACAAAAGAGGCTTTTCACCTTGTGCCCAGGATGTGGAACAAGCAGACTAACGCACTGTATTTGAGCATCCAGTTCTCTAAGACCTGATGGGAAGAGCACACAATAGAGTCCTTGGGGCCAGAAAAAGTTCCACACCAGCACTGGAGGGCGCCTTAGTAGAGGCACATGCTGCACGAGTCTGAGTTCAAGCTCTGCCACATCATGCACACATAGACACAATAAAATCTTTAAAAAGAAAAGTGTAGCCCCCAAGACAATCCCTGTTTGCCAGTCTCTGCCTCCACACACTGGCAGTAGCAGCCTGCCTGCTCTCTGCAAACATATGCCATGATCTAATAGCACTTTCTACGTAGAATCCAAAAGGCTCTCATTTTCCACTGTATACTTTTTTTTTTTTTTTTGAGACAGGGCTTCATGTAGTCCAGGCTGGCCTCCAACTTATCATGTTAGTCAAGGCTAACCCCTGATCTTCTGATCTTCGCGCCATGCATCACCATGTGCAGATGAACCGTGTACTTCTAAAAGGCAATACAGCATGGACAGTTTTATTAGGAAGTGATATGAGAGTCTAAAAGAACAGTCATTATAGACTGGGGGATCCAGCTCTTCACAGATTATTCCAAGTGTGTAAAGACAGAGGCCAGGGGCTGGGTGTAGTGGGACATGCCTTTAATCCCAGCACTGGA